CTCGGAAATGATATACCAAGCATCACTAATTCGTAACCAAACCTTCATTCCACAATGATACACAAATGCTTGTTGTAAGCTTGTAATGACAATTGGCAACCCATTCTTTTGGATTCGAACGTCTTTAATACTAGGTGCTTTATGGATTGTATCCGCTTCTAATTCAGCCACTTGTAATAACGGTGCAATCGAAATCCCATCCAGTTCACTCTTGAATGAAAGTATGTCCCATGTGTATAATAATCCTGTAGCGGTTAAGCATAATAACCATTGTGATGAACATTGTAGAATAACGGGCGTACTCTCCAAGATAATGGGCGGTAATAATCGTCGTCCTGCCGGTGAATAAATATTGAGCGAACCGTCTTCACATCCCACAGCAGAAAATAATTGATTGCCTGCCATTAATAATACAGCACTAGGCAGATAGTCCTCCCAAACCACTGTGCCTTGTTGACTCGTCACCACTTTAGTTCGTACAGGTGCATTTTCATCTATTTTCCTTTTTTTTTAGGGTTGACTATTGCAGAAAAAAAAATGTTTCAAAAAAGTGCACTTACTATGACTATTTGGTGCGTTATGGCATTCCATGACAACAGTAGGATCATCCGGTCTTAGTTTAGTCGTTAAAACTGATTTTACTTTGGGCACGCCCATCCTCACCTGACTCTTTTGGACTACAGGAGGAGTGACTGCCGAAGCGATCCATTCTGGTGCCAGTCGATTCTTGTTTTGATTTCCCATGGCTTCATCTTCTTCCTGTAACTTTCGTTTATTACCCGAGACAGTACATCCCACACCCTGTGCTGGTAAAACAGGATCATCATATACCACCACGTTTTCCATGTCAGTGATTGATGAAGAAAACACTTGAGCTGCTACGGAGGTAGGTACCTGTTGTTGTTGTTTTTCCTTTGGTGCGATGGTCATCATGACAGGTTGAATACGCTTCTTTCCGTTTTTCGCAATGGAAACCTTTTGTTCGATAGGTTGAGTCCTTTGTTGTTCCTGTGGTTGTTGTTGGTGGTGGTGGGGTTCTTGAGGTGGTAATGTATCCGTCATTTCCACGTCTTTGGAGGTTTGGATGCTTGTATTACTTGTCATCAGTTGACTTATTCGTTTCGATGAAGAAGCTTTGGCCATAATGGCATTTTCTTCCTCGAGTTCCAGTAGAATCGGTGTTTCTGGTAATTGTGTTTTTTTTCGTCCGTATCCGTACTTTGTTAATTCTTGATACTATATATATATTTTTTCTTGCGTTTAACGTCTCTACATGTATGTTTTACTTCGGATGATACTTACAATGGCATCGTCGGGTGCTGCATCCACAAGTTCATCATCGAGTTGAAGACATGCTACTGTACCATCCTGAGAACAAGCAAATAAACTCTTACCATCCGGTGTCCTATAATTGATAGTATAAGTTTACTTTTTTTTTTTTCCTCGCTACCTTTTTTTTTTTTTCTCTTTCGTATTTACCATGCGATATCGTATACATTGTTATCAAATATATCTGCAGCTACACAAACAGGTCGACTAAATTTAGTGACCCAAATAGATACACTTCGATCTTGACTCCCCAATGCACAAATTGTAGCTAATGATTTTTCGGATTCGTCTGGTGTATCTCCTCTCATATAAAACATTTTCGGGTTGAATGACTATTTCAATTCCCTGTTAATCATACAGCCTTAAAAAAAATAGGAACCGGAAGAAAAAATGGGAAAAAAAAAACTCACGGTGACTTCAACGGGCAAAGTGTGGCCGACAAGCGATACATCTGCGTTCCAATCATCACGGTTAATAATAGCAGCAATACATTGAATACCGTTGACAGCATTGGCGGCTGCTACATGAGCACCATCGGGAGCCCAACTGATTTTTTATAGGGTATTTTAGTACGGAGGTCTACTTACACCCACCCCATGTCCTTTTATGCGTTTACCTTAATCTTCGGAATAATGTGGTGCCTGGTGCATTGATAAATGGACTGACAATGTCTGTTTCGAGTCCCCAATCTGATGTTCTCCACACTTTAACCATTTTATCATCCGACTATGTAAAATAATAAGTAACATGCTAAATCGAATGTAAGTTTTCTCTATTTACTTGAGAGGCGAGGAATTTGCCTGCAGGATCCCAAGTTACACCTTTTACAAACCCACTGTGTTGATCAATTTTCTTTAATTGCTCTTTTTTAAAAAAAAATAGAAAGGGTGTGAACAGATGAAAAAGGATGAAGACTATGTGTGTTTTTACTTTACCAAATGTTGAACCATCCCAGACTATCACAAATCCATCCACACCACACGATGCTAAATATTGATTGTCTTTAGACCAAGCTAAATCCTGTACATCTGATTCATGACCTCGTAAATATTTGACGGCTCTCCAAGTTTCGTGGTTGACTTCGCTACTGCCAAAGACAGAACCTGCTGCTGTATTTCTAAAGTATAGAGCAGTAAAATTAGAAAGGTTGATTTTGATAAAATGTGGTTTTGTACCTTACCTGTCGCGTTCCCAAATGATGATAACATTATCATTATCTGAACTAGAGGCTAAATAACGTCCTTCACCGTTTGACCAACGTACGCATAAAACCGCACCTATTTTTTAAAAAAAATAATTAAGGTTTTCGAAAGAGACCTTTGGGGAGGTTTTTTTTTTTTTCTGTTACCATTATGCATTGTCATTGTACAAAGTAATTTATGACAGTTGGGATCTTTTTCAGCTTCTTCGTCGAAAATAGGTACAGTGTTCCAAATTTTGACATTACCATCTATATGCGGGCATTAGAATGAGCTGAAGCGAAAAAAAAAAAAAAAAAAAAAGATTTTTTTTTTTTTGGTGTGTGTGTATACCTAAACTTCCTGTTGCGAGTCTTTTTCCATCAGGATGAACATGAACTGAATATATGCAAGGTTTTTTATGTCGTGAGTCTTGTGCACGGTCTACTCGAACAAAATAGTTATTAAAGGTTGAACTAAACAAAAGAGTTGATGGTTTTTTTTAGTTTTAAAAAAAGAATTTGCTTTTCTACCTGCATGAGACACCCATTCTGGTTTGATGATGATCATGGTTCAGAGTCTGTTGAAGAAGAAAGAAAAATATAAAAAAAGAGAGAAAAAGAAACACCAAAAATACGTGACTGTGTGAGAGCCCCTCTCCTCAAAAAAAAAAAAAAATGAAATAAAGCTTCTTTATTTATTTTTTTTAACTGTGCCTGGCTTGATCTTTACGCTTTCGATCATTGTGCCGAGGCAGATTAAAACCTCTTGACTCTTTCTATTGAATGGACAAGGTTGAACGGGCTGTCCCTTGAACACGCGTTCGAAAAAGAGATTGCATAAAAATTACTTTTTATTTTTATGCGGCCTTTCATTTTAGGTAGGCAGATGTTTCCGTCCATGTCCATAATACCAAGAAAATCAATCACGCATTTTATAAAATGAGCATTTGTTTATAACCTACAGTACTCAATTCTTGTTGTCACTACTCTCCTCATTGCCATTATACTCTTTATGTGTTTCGCTGACATTATTAAGTTCAGAAGTAAGCTTTCTAACGCACGCTGTAATATAAAGCCTGAAAACTCAAATTTATATTACTATCCAGGCAAAATTTGTGCTTACCATAAAATGATTAGTGTCTGATCTTAGTATTGCTTTGAAAATGTAAATATTTGCTTACCCAACCAAAGGGTATGCTTAAGAGAAAGAGATAAAGATAAAGTATAACCGCTGTCGCCTTCAACATTGATATTTTCCTCCTTATTTTTATGATCAACGTCCTGGCCTTAATCATCCGTGTCATCTTCCGTTATCGTTGACTTCGTCTTCCGATTTATCTTCTTCTAAATTAAGAGGACTCACATAGGAAAGCCATGCATTTCCCAATCATGGGTCTTTAAAAAAAAAAATGGGGCTCCACTTCGGGCCGCTGATCCCATTTTTTAAAAGGCTTATTAGACGGCCCCTCCGGTAAAAATACGTGGTTCCCGGAGCGTAAGATAACATAATACATGGTCCTCAAAATTGGCTGCTCACAACTGCTGGTATGGAGAGGTAATTCTGTACAAAAATAACTGCATTGATAAAGTCTTAAGACATTATTGTGTCAATATTGGGAAATCCATTTTTTTATAAGAAAAAAGAGCTGACTAGATTTGTTTGACTCAATATCATTATAAGTCATTTACATAGTGTCCGATTTCACTATCTAAAGCTTTTGTTTATCCTTTTCTTTCTTTTTCTCACATCGTTGAGTTCTCTTTTCATCATTTTATTTAAATTACCAACACTTGGGACATAATGAAAAGGTTTTTATTTTGATGGCATACTATGGCTTGCCATGTATGGTTATATTCTGGTCATTTTTATATTTTTTTCTCATTCAATCTCTAAGGCTTACAACTACGATTTGCATACTCCGTCTAATAAGCCAAACTGAATCCTCGGGTTGATAAGAGTGATCTGTTTTATCTCATGTAAATGAATCAAACGCCTCCAGTTGGATACCAGCCTCTGGCGAATGGTGAACTTGATTCAAGTTGAGAAGAGTCGTCCACTCCAAGATGATGGTCATCGTCATAACTGTTATTGCTGTTGTGACCTTCTTCATAATCTTTTTTCGGAACAGTGCGGCTCAAGTAATGTTTAACTGCAGACACTTCTTACATTTAACTTACCATATTTTCCCTTTTGTGCGCTATTAATGTTCATATTGATATTGTCAATTTTGCTAGGACCTTGACTTGTAACGTTTCCGTAGTTGATGTATTGATTAATCACTGGACGTTTTTCCTTGATCGCCCTGTATGAAGAAAAGTAAATTAATAATCCATATAAGCTCACAGTATTCGTTTAGTATTACCTTTGAGTTCGTATCTTTAATCAAGGAGTCCAAGTAGTCCTTAAAATCGTCATTGATACAGGAAAGACCACTAATAGCCTTGATAGCTTTTTCATAATTTGCTCTTATTCTTTTATTCCTTGGTGGATTCAATCCCTGAACTGTTTTGTACTCTTTGAAGGATTGATAATCCCATAAACGAGGTGGATTATTATTAAAGTATTCGAAGATCGGGTTATTGGGTAGTCTTATTTTCTGGTCAATATCAAGCATTTGCAAAGACAGTAAAGGTGTTCGCATCAACAGTGGTTAGCGGCTAAAAAAGTGTGTGTCACAAATTTATTACGGATGGACAATTCAATTGCTTGAGATAGAAAGAGCATCCGTCGCACAATTCGCATCTAACTTAAGACAACAATTGCAGATTTTATCTAACTTTAAAAATGAGCAACTGCTATAAAAAAACAAGTTTTTTCTTTTTTTTCTTTTTCAACAGTTTCTTAAATGATTTTTAATAAAAGGTGGGAATAATCATCTTAAATCATCATCATTGTCAGAGCCGCCAATATCGACATCTTCATCTTCATCATCTTCATTCACCATTGTGTGCGTCACAGGATCCTTCTTTTTCAAGTCCTTCTTTTTGATAATGATTACTGATTTGGTTTGACTCACCATTTTGGCAGCAGACCATTTTCCTCCTGTTGTTGTTGTTCTCTCTTCTTTTCTATGGCGATGATGTCTGTGCCGCTGCTTCTTTTTTATCTTTAACGGTTGCTCATCTGTTCCCCCTATTGCCATAGCGGCAATAGCAGCATCTCGTTTACGCCGCATTTCTTTCCGTACTTGTTCTACATCATCATCCGTATCCGTCTCTTCATTATCAGACTCCGATTCATGCTTGACCGTCAAGGATGGATCAATCACCTTCACTTGTCTCTCTCCACCATTTTCCCCTTCCTCCTCCGAAAAGCAACCCAATAATGGTGCATGTTGTGTGTTCATCTCTGCTATTTTTAATGTATGATGTGGATGTGTCAACAAGACTTTTTTTTCCTCCGTCAAGGGTATCGGGACGGGTACACTTTGTCTTCTTTTCACTGCTGGTAAAGGGCTCGGGAACAAGGATTCAACATCGCCATCCAAAAACGGTCCCAATTTATGTTGTATAGAACAAGTAGCCGCCAATTCTTGAGCTCGTCTACAAGGAATCCAGGTACCATACAATTGACTGGCCTTGTTCAAGATACGAACTCGACTCATTTCAAAACTAAGGATCATACTACGTTCACTCTCGGTATCAATACCACCAGCCGTCAAGAGCTGTGTACCGTTGATATATCCCGTATCCAGTCGACGCATCAGGCGATATTCGGTTTCTGTTCCTTCCTCTTCTTCTTGTTTCCGCAAGATGGCAATACAGACAGTCACGTTGTCAAGCAGTGTGATGGTCATGGGTGGATCTGTAGGTTGAATAGGATAAACAATGGGTATACTGGGTGGTGGTGGTGGGGTCTCCACCAATATGGGTGAGGGTGATGTGGATGGTGATGGTGGTATTGATTGTGGTAGTTGTGGTTGTGGTGGTAATATTTGTGAAGCCAAGTGAGGCATAACAGCCATCATGTGTTGAAGTGCAGAAAGGTTGAGGGCTTGAATATTCATGGATTTTAAAATTTCAGAAGTCGTGAGGTGTTTGGTGGAAGGCGCAATTTTCGCATGCTTTCGACTGGGTATAATTACAACCGGTTTCTCTCTTTGGATACTGATGTTGGCTACAATTATATAAAAAAAAAAAAAAAAAAGAAGGAGATGTAAGTTGAACTGAAACTGCCATTATTTCGTTGTTTACCTGGGGAATCAACAGGATGATCACTCAAGAGTTTTGTTAAGCCAACCGAGCTTTCAATCTCAAACTCTTCAATTAGTTCTCTCGCTCTGTACAATGGCACCCTAAATATTTGTTTGTTTTTTTAGCTGAGTATAGATTAGTTTTGATTTTTTTTTTTTAATTTACCATGCGCCTCGGCTTTCTAAGGGACCTTTGGTAATAATGACGACCAGCGTTTCTTTCTGTGTGTCAAAGATACCTTCACCAAGCACGGGTGTAGCAGCTTTCCGTAAATGAGTGGCATTAATATAGTCTTTTTTTAATTGGTTACTTTGTTTATGATCATCCTTTGGTTGTATCAATGCAATAAAGCGTAGGACTTTGATTTGATCTTCATCATCCAGCTGGTAACATTGCATATTGCCAATGACGATCTCTTTGATTTGAAACGGATTCAAAGTCCGGTTGCGTTTGACATCCATTGACAACTGGTTGTCATGGCTACTGTCAATGTGTTGAGGTCTTTTGAGAGAAGTTAATGCTGCTGGTTGACCACTAAATGTAAAAAATAACATGAGTAATTTTGATAAATATAAGGGGAAAAGCGAAAGAAAATAATACCGATGTTTAACAATAGTATCGGCTAAAGCTTTCGGAGAGGTGGGTGTATTATTCTCCATATTTATCAACGTTTTTAAAATGGCCGCGAATACTTTATTATTGGCATCATGGTTTGGAATATGGGACGATCCTTTTTTCTTGTCAAAACTCATTGAGAACGCGTATATTATCTCTTTTTCTTCTGTTTCTTTCCTTTTTTTTTTTTTTTTTTTTGTTCTTCCTTTTTTAGTAGTGAGACGGTTGTAATAATGAAGGGTATATAAAAACGCAATGTAAGCACATGTAAAAAAGGGGAGAGAGAAAAAATAAAAAAAAGAGGTGCAATGGATTCTCCCCCGGGTTCATACACACATGAAAAAAAAAAGTATTTAAGCTCCGTTTTATTGTGTGTTTAATTGGTTAAGAATGAATTTACACTTTATGTGGACGCCTGGCACATCGTTCACCTAATATGTTGTGAGTTTCAAGATAAGTAATTTGATTTATTTACATAATAAAACTTACATTGAATATCGTCGTTATGTTTTCTCCAGAGGGTAGATTCATGAGCTCCACATGAAAAGCATGTGTAGTTACGAGCATCACGCTTGCGCACGACCTTAACGCTGCCATCATCATGCGTGACAAGCATACGCTTCTTTTAGCTGTCTTTTCACTATATAAAAAAAAATTAAGTTTTTTTCTTGATATAGTGGCCAATAAAGAAAAAAGAAACTCACTAGAGTCCACAGGCGTTGCAAAGAAGATCTCCCTTGGAATGCTTGGATACACTACGTCTCCAGGAAGGAGAGTTACTTGCATGACAGTTACTACAGCGCTTCTTGCTCTTTTCTCGGACTTGTCGCTTCATACACAAAGGCTTCTTGGTTCTTTTGATTTCTGTTTCTTCTTCCTCATCATCAGCACTACTGTGGCGACGATGGTAGGTAGCAACAGGATCAGTCACGTGCTTAGTCTTCTCGGGTTCAAAATCAGAGCCGCTGCTTTCACTAGGAGCACCGTTAGTCATATGCGGATAACCAAGGTAAAGAGGCATGGTGTTACAGCGATGCCCGGTGTAATCATTTGGAGAAGGCGTGGCACTAAAAACGGTATTGGGAGAGAAGAAAGGATGGCCATCCAATGAACTGCCGTACATGGAAGAGGGATCTTCGGTTGGACAATTTTGAGTGGCAGAAGGGTAGTAGTTGTATTCATTGATATAACCGTGCATGTTGGGATGTGTTGGAGGAATATAACAAGAACTTTGAGAAGTATGAAAGGACAAGACTGGGTCTTCTTCCAAATGAGGAGATATAGATGCCGAGGAGGAACCACCGTCTTCTTCATGCATAGTCATTGCGGCAAACGGATTTGATTTGAAATAACCTTTTTATTGATGTATTTAATACATCTATTCTTATGTGTTCTTTTTTTCTTTCTATTACCTTTCATTTGATATGTTAAAAAAAGTGGGAATAAAGAAACTGAATAAAAATTTCTTTTTAAACTGACATTTTCTAAATTTTTCCCAAGGTTTAAATGAGTTTCTGTCTCTTTCAATTTATCAAATATTATGTGAAAAAAGGAGCAGAAATGACAAAGACTAGACATGTAAGCTCACATGACAACCTAGAACACAATAAAATAGAAAAAAAAATTTAAAGGAGATGCATCGGACGTTATTATTCTTTCCCTTTATTTTTCTGCCTGTGAATATATGCAACACCTAATGATTCAACCGATGAAAGCACGTAATAAAATATCATAAAACCTAGTACACAGTTCCAGACAGTTCCAGCCAAACTATTCTATTGCAGATTAAAAATTGATAAATAACGCACAATTTAGAGTTTAGTATAATGTGTTTTTTTTCCTCACTTACTTGTTCATTGCTTATAAATAAGTTTGTCTGGTCTATAAGTTGAATTGATTGATAAACTGAATCGGGTATCACGGGTTGAATAAATTGCAGTACCGTATTTAACGTATCATGCGAAAACACCAAAATAACAAGTAAAGACTATAATCCATTGACACATGCATGAATATCCATTATTCTCTTATCACTCCTTATTATATGATTTACCTGGATGCTGGCTTTAACACACGCCTTTCCTAAAAAAGTCGCACCGAAAAACGTACTGAACGGAATCTTGAAATGACCGCATGTGATGCCTGCCAAGTCAAAAAGGGGGTTGGGAACAGACGCAAACAGAAATATTCCGAAAAATCCAAGTTTTTGGATCATTTGTAACACTACGTTATCCTTTTCATGTACTTTTTCACCACTTTCTGCCACTTTTTTTTATTACATGTGTATTAGTTTCTTCATATTTTTATACAAATATCTATTTCTTACCCGCTCGGGCGATAAAATAGGGCGGTAATTCACCAAATGCGGTTCCAGCACCCCAAGCAAAACTTTCCCAGTGTACCTGTCGAAAGACCGCCCATACCGTGACAAATGAGTTAAACTGATTCTCACTGATGCAATCAATCAATCGAAAGCTATAGGTATTAAAGATATCAGCACAAAATAAAAAACAGTCTGGGTGGCTGGGCTCACCTGTCTGGATTGCGGGTCAGCAGTTGAGCTGAATGACATGCATTTGCAGCCAGAGTGACTTCTGCAATATAAGGGCCCAGAAACAAGACAAAGGTATGAAATCCGGCGCCGACAGCGATAGAAGATGCCACACCTAAAAGAAACCAGGTGCCGTACCATACACATTGTTGCTGTATCATCTCTAACACGATCTGGTGCGGTCCCTTTATTTCGTTGATAATGGCGAGAAAAGCCAAACAAAAGGCGAAAAACATGGAAAGCGTCAGATGCTCTTGTAAAAGATAACCAGTTCCGTCACGAGTTTCTTCAATAACAAACTTTGTAAAGGAGGATAAGACGAGTAATGGATGTGTATGGAGTTTGATTGTCATTTATTTAATGAGGTCTAGCTTTGTTATTTATAAAGAAGTGTGTTTGGTATGTGTAGAAATGCAGTAAATGAAAAAGGGAAAGAAAGAGAGGGAGAGAGTATGCCTTGTGTGTTTAATTTTATATAAAAGCACCTAATACCTTCACGTGTGTGTGGTATTTACTTGCCTATTTTTGTCAAACCACGTAAACTCTCTTGCACAATTAATCCAGGTCGAGTTGGGAACACGTATTTTTCTTTGAGAATAGTGACTACATCATAACATACGGCGTCGTCCATGGTTTCCTCCTTTTGTTTGTGAATTACAGCAAAGGGCTTGGCCAGTTTGACTTTCTTTCCTACGAGTTTATGATGTCCAATAATTAAAGTGGCCCCCGTTTCTGTTAATGTCAGATCCCCAATTTCTAGATTCGAGACGTCGGGATTCTCGGCACTTTCGAAGCTGCCTTGGAAATCAAGATAGACTAAATCTTGTGTATAGTTGGAGTTTTGTTGCGAATGAATAACCACATGCACCATTGATCGGGATCGATTGTTTATTTGAAATAACAAAAGAATGAATAATATTAAAAAAAAAAAATTAAAAAGGCCGTGCTAGAGCACGTCCTTATTGGCTAAATGAAAAACTGTTATTGGGTGTAGAGTAGTTTTATTTATAGAGGTTTAAAAAAAGTGTATAAAAAGAAATGAAAGATATGGGGGTTTATAAGGGAGTAATATCATCAATAGTTAAAGGGGGAGTCACGACACACCTAAAAAGAAGAAAAGAGTCAGTAAATGAATACATATAGACTACATTAAGAGAGAAATACTTACATCCAAATACGTGTCTTGTAAATTTTAAATAATTCACGTACAAGTTCTCTGAAATCGATACGATTCTCAGCTTGAAAGTAAAAGGTCAACTTGCGACGATCCCATTGATACTCAGCATCAACCACCTCCATGGGTAATTTACGCTGCTTTGTCTTTTGTTGACATACAATCAATGACTTGTGTTCATCTTGTCCCTTCACCAACAAGAGATGGATCTCGTCTGCTGTAGCCAATCGAAAGATACGTTTGATATGAATCTCACGAGGCGCTTTTGCGTTCTCTTCTGCCTCTTCCTTTTCATTGTTTTTATTCTCGATCTGTTGTAATTGTGCTTGTTTCTTTTGCTCCAATAATGTAACTTGATCAATCGATAACGTATTAGCAGAGACCTTACCAAGATCTTTACCGCGATCGGCTTCAACAATCACTAAATCGCCAATCTGTGGATAAAACTGACTCGAGTCCATCACATAAAAGAAATCGGTTCGACCACCTTTAAACTCTACCATGTACAATGGTACCTTGGGATCCAATCGATGGAGTGGAATACCTTTACCGAGATCTTGGAATCCTCTTGGGTCTGATTCAAAATAATCATCAGCAACTTGTTGTTGCTGCTGTTGTTGTTGATGCTGTTGTTGTTGCTGCTGTTGATGTTGTTGTTGTTGCTGCTGCTGTTGTTGTTGTTGATGATGATATTGCTGTTGTTGTTGAAGATGAAGATAACTAGATGGATTATGATAATTAGGTTGTTGTTGAACATACATATATTGTTGTTGTGATGGTGATGGTTGCGTAGGTGATGGTTGTTGAAAGTTCATTTCGGATCTTAGATGGGTGTTTTCTAATTGGTCAGCCAATTGTTGGATGTTACTTGGTGGTTGTGTCGCCAATGTCAATGACTGTCTTCGCATCAGATTATAATTTCCAGCTGCAGGTGTTTCGGGGAACGAATATTCTTGCTGCGATGATAAACGACGTTGAATGATGTCTAATCTTTCTTTATCTCCCAATGACATTTGTCCAGTGTTTGTATTAAAATCATTTGCAGTAGGTTGATCAATGTTAAAGAACCGAGAAGATGATCGGCGACGTTGATTAATGGCTAAATCTTCTTGCTGTTCAGAACCACGTCTGACATGACCATTATTCATTAAACGAGAATGTTGTGTCTGAGATAATAAACCAAATGCAGCACCAGAGGATTTAGATCGGGAACGAATATGAGCGAAATCAAAGTCATCCAGATAACCATCTTCTTCTTCCACCATGGGAGCTAAGGAACTGTTAAAAGCGGGTTGCTTATATTGAGGTTGAGTAGGTGTCGAATCTTCATAATCATCATAACCAAAAAAGGTGGGCTCTTGACCCATCGAGAATGAAAGACTACGTTGTTGACGGTAAATGGGTTCCATCGAGATATTGGGCAGCATGGGTACTGAACGAATACTGTTGTCATATAAATCAATGGCATCGGGCGCAGGTTGAGTGGGAGCAACCGTTACTGGCTTACCATCTTCATCAAAAATAGATGGTCCTTCCCATTGGAATCCACCAAATGAACCCCAATTAGGTCCATTGCCGTTAGTCTCTGAAACGACAGAGGATCTTCTTATAATCTCGACGTGGTCATTGACAGGAGAGTCGTGAGGACTGTTACTTTCCAAGAAATGACCCATAGCCGTGGTGCTTCCTCTTCGGGAAGGACTACCTACTGCCTTCCAAGCATTGTCGGGATTTGAGTTGAGGATAGGAACACCCGCTTCTTCGTTCTATTCAGTTTCTTATTAGCATGCAACCATTATAGTTTCTTACAATATATTTACTGTGATTTTCGTTTTATTATTCTAAATTTTTAAAAAAAAAAAATTAAATGAGATATTAGTTTTAAGAGCTCGGGCCCAGTTTATTTGTAAAGATGACAAACCTTTGCTTGTGTCATGTTGTCTACAAATGACTATTTTGTATTTCTGTTCTCGTTAAAACTTCTGACAACATTCAATACAAAGCTCAAGCTTACCTTGTTCTAAATTCTAAAGTGTCTATGTTTGAGGGAATTAAAAAAAAAAAAAAAAAAAGGAAAGGAAACGTTTGCCCGTTGGGATGAGCTGTTCTACTTTCTTTTTGCTTTTAATAAACTTGTTGATAATAAAGAGGTGTTGTTTTCCTATTCAATGTTAACACGAGCTTTCTATACGTATATAAATTACACCAAGCAAACACGCTATCTCTCTATACACATACACACCTTTTGTTATACAAAAATAGAAAAAACTTTAAAAAAAGTGCACAGAAATAAATGGGAGAGAGAAAAAAAGAAAAATCGACTTTTTTCTTTTGGGCTGGACCAAACACTGCGTGATTTAGCGGAGCAACGCTAAATCACCACAAACAGCGGGACAGTCACTAACAAACAAATACAAAAAAAAAGCTAACCTTTCTTACCTCCATAGTAACCGGTCTTCTCTTACAACTTGACGTAATTTTAACATCCTTCCGGCATCTTCCCCACTGAACTTATGAGCTTGGAATTATTAGAATGGATCTTTAAACAAGATGGTACTCAGACCAACTATGCTAATCGCTAAAGTTGAAACGAGTCCCCGGGCCTGATTGTACGCCTTTAGAGATCAGGAACTCATCTTGTCTCGACAGGTCTACTTAAATTATAAAGGTACCTATCTTTGCTCCCTGGGCTGAGTTTTTCAAAGTAACCCATTGCTGCGAGTGATTGTCGACATTCTGGTATTGGAACGAACGTTATCAGTTTATGAATATGCTTTTCTTGATCTTTAAACTGCTTCTTCTACGCTATACACTATTTTCATAAATTTTTCGTGCACGCTTAGAATAAAACTTCAATCAGCGACGGAATAAATAATCGCTTAAAAATTAATTAATTTTCCATGCATAGTTTACAAACGAAATGAACGAAAGAGAAATATATCTGTTATCATTAAATGGGTATACTGCTAAAGTAGGAGGAAGATGTATCAATAGAAAATGTATCATCACATTAAAGGGCACGGATAAGTGCCCTGTTATATGCGTATAATGTAACTCTCATTTAAGGCCACTTCATCCAAAAAACTAACCTGCTTGAGCTTGCTCTTAAAAATTGAACGGTTGGGTTCAAACCAAATAATTATTGTCTTCTTTTTAAGCCTATTTGATACGCACAAACGAGCAAAATTTGATGTTGTTGTTAACCTATATGGGGGTGAGAGGTAGCGAACCCCCCCCCCTTCCCCTTCATTTTTCTCTTGTCAGCACTCTAGATGTGTTGCGTTACCAAGAGTACATTAAATACCACTACCTCGTCATGAATAACACACTTATTGGCAACAGATATATAAGTGGATAAGTATATCGAAAAGAATGGATATGGATGCACTACACTTCCTTCCTTTCCTGACACCCTGAAAAGGAAACCTGTTTTATGTCAAACCCGAAAACTAAACAAATAAAAGACCTAAAAACACAGACAAGTACATGGCATTTACAGTTTTACTTGAAATAAAGTTTTATTTCATTGTATGTATTAGGGGTATCTGGAATTAGCTACCTATTGAATGACACAATTATTTTTCGTTTGCTTTCGTATATTTTTTGGGGAATCCGAGTTTTTCTATAATGAATATGAGGTATGTGCTTTCTTTCAAAAGAGATAGATATAAAATGAGAGCTAGAAAAAGTGAATTTATTATTGCTTCAAGCGAATTTCATTTTTCTTTGTTTTTCTCCCTTTTTTTCAGTGTCAACAAAGTTTGAGACGAATCATTCTATATTGACAGTATATAATGAAGTGATAATCATTTAGTAGAAAACAACAAAGTATATATTTGATATAATAATTCTTTGGGGCTATTTTCAGATGTTTTCATTACAAGTAAAGGCTGAAACGTTCTGTGTGATTAAATAATCAATTATGTCATTCTGACATAAACAAATTCTTGTTTATCAGTCTTTAAATAAAAAAATTCCACACACTTTTCTCTTCCCTTTTCTTTTCAAATACTTCTTCGTGTTTAACAGTTAGACTATCTTCATATAAAGAAATAACAATTAGATGAGAAGGTTCGTTATCGATTACTTTTTATTTGTTTGTAAAAACGACTAAAAAAAAAGACCTGTCCCTCTCCAATTTTTACAGGATATCGGTGATACTACGGCTTCCTTTGGTCTTTGTTACCTCCTATTGAACTACTGTAGGCATACAGATCGAATTGAACAACATCAATTACCTCATAGCCTAAGTTACCAGGAAGATTGGGAAACAAATTGTAACTTGTTTGCCAGCAAACAGTTAGACAACTTGGATGTTTACAACATGAACTAGGTTCCAGCCGTGCTTTTCTTGGCGAATCCACGGTTAAAGGCAACACCTGAGACGATAAAGAATCGCTGGAGGTATACTAATATTTTAGAATTTAGAGAAGATCCTGGAGGTGTTGGCTTTGCCATCTAGTCTCCCCTTGCCATCAGCAGAATACTTTGCCTGCTTATAGAAACTTTTGGCTGAAATTTTTGGTCACCCTTAAATTGAAACTGTATTTCCGATTATTCATCAATCGGTGATAGCGACGGGCGGTGTGTACAAAGGGCAGGAACGTAATCAACGCAAGCTGATGACTTGCGTTTACTAGAAATTCCTCGTCGAAGAGCAATAATTACAATGCTCTATCCCTAGCACGATGAGAGCATAAAAATTATCGATGTGACTGATGTTAATTTGGACGAAAACTTGAGCTATCCCAAATTAATATTGCGTCATATTCCTTCATTAATCAAAGTAATCGTTTTGAATGAGCAAAGCAAAGAGCTATTTGTCGTGGCTAAACATCTGCTTAACAGAACTATTCAAATGTAAATTATGTAAAAAAAACATGATTCCTTATGCAAGTACGGTGGTGATTCTTACTGGTGAACCAATGGTTGGAGGTGGTGAATCTTGGTGGTGAACGAATTCTCGGAGGTGATGATGCTCGGGAGGTGATGATGCTCGGGAGGTGATAATTATCGGTAAATAGAGCTGGTGGTGACCAGTTAAGACTGTTTGGTTATTATTAAATGAATTTTTGAACCAGTGATATTTATGTTTAATTTTGTTTATAGTGAAGTGGATAGTCGAAAACGACTACGGGACGACGTGACAATTATGAACAATACCAAAAGACTACGCACACCATCACCAATCTCGAAGTTGTACGATGATAAACTGGAAGTGTTGCTGCTCTCCAGAAGCCGTATGAAGTGTGCCCCAATTACATCCAAATGATTTCATACCACACGCGATCTTCCAAAGATTTCCTGATTTTGATGAAAACTACAGGCGCAAGCCAATTAAAATGCGTTCCTGCTATTTACAGTGATGGAAATCCAGCTGTTTTCTTGGCTTCTGACGAAGGAATGGATGATCAAGTCCTTCATCCTATCAACAAAATATTGGACTTGGACATTAGACATATCATCGTCAGAAATGCTTTCGAAAGGAGCAAATAATGCAACCAACTTGTAAATAGGCGTGACTGGACTTTAAATGACTGTGGCTACTACACTCAAATCGAGGCATATTTTCATGATAAGGCTGTCGATGACGTTGCGCAGATTGATAAAAATAGCAAGCATCCATTATTTGGAGGCAGCTATAGAAAAGTCCGAGATGGACAAGGGCTCACGGTACGAGTTGCGCTTTCGCTGCCAGAAGCTTGAGTTTATAGCAACTGGTGGTACCTATCAAAGGAAACAGGATGGCACAAAGTTGGATGCTTTTCTTGGTGTTGCTGTGCCATCTTTTATTTGTCAAGATACCGAATTTCTGGTATTATCTCCCATAAACAAGCCAGAGTTCATAGCTTGCGTTCGGATGCTTCGAGCCTAGCTTATTACAGTGTGATCCTAGCTATTTACAGTGTAAAATTATCAAAAAAAGGCAAGCTCAAAAAAGTGGAGCTTCAAGTCTCAAGTTTTCCAAGCAATGAACTTTTGTACATCCGACCAGCTACGATTGTTTGAAGAAGAAACTAATGGATTTACTTCAGTATGTTCCAAAATCATTTCTTTGGTAATAGATGGAGCTTTGACGATGAAAGAAATAGATAAATTAGAAAGCAAGATGACCGACTTTCAATACTATAAAAGCATTGGATTGAATGAGGTTCCCTCAAAAGATGTTGTCTTAGATCAGATTGATAAGATCAAAAAGAAGAACATTTCGATTAGGTTTTCAAAGCCAAAGCTATTAATTATTGATATCATTTTCAGCCGTAGGATTAATGTAAGCAATCGAGATTTACTCTTGCTCTACAATGAGATAATCTACCCCAAAATCAAAAGTATAAATCGAAAAGGAATCAAGCAATTTCATTTATAATATTTTTTATCAATATAAATACCCATTCAATCCCCATAGATAATAACCTTCACGACTTGAGCATAAATATCAAATTTGACTAATGCATTGTTCTTCTGTTCCTATCAATCTGAATGTAATTGTCTCTGCCTGTTTGTGTGCATCTTGTTAATGTCTTCAGGGTGAATACGTGTTATCAATAAAGTAAAGCATATAAACCTTTGTTTTGGATATTTACGGTTGATTTGTTCAATATTTGATCAGTTATGTATCTGAGTCGAGAAAATTCTGGGATAAATCATCTTACTGTTTCCGTGCGTAATTTTGATTTCTTAGGCGCTTATTTTGATTATATGTAACCCATGAACTAGTTATATTACATTTTAAAGTTTATAACATTCACGAAGGTTATTACATTGATTTTTGGCTAAATACTTGAGCATTAACTATCTTTAGTAAAAATACGATGACATACAAAGCTGTAATTGCAGAGAGCTTTCGCGTCTGCAGCTTTTTAAGCAGCAGCACGCATTTTTTTCTACAACTGTTAATTCTAGCAGCTCAAATATAGGTATAAAATCAAATTCAAGATTAGTCTCTAGACAAAGATGATACGCGTATGAGAAGAAATGTAAACGATTGAGGATTTTAATTATCTTTGAAAATAAAGATGCGATTAAAGCGAACTGTGCAGAATACTTTAAGGATATTATCATTACCAACACTCTTCTTAAGTTTTCTTTCAGCATTGACAATGTTTTCTTTAATTCAGCCGAGAGAAGCTTACATTTAAAAACGAAGAGTTTGATACCGCTTCCGCTTTTAAGCCGGTACTGCATGGAGTGTTGGTATATTTATATAAAAAGCCCATTTAAATATGAAATTTGTACCTGTTTTAAAGTACGGCTGTAACCTCCTCATATCAAAATCAAGCTTTTCTATGTCTTAAGATCATAAATGCGTATCCTCTTGCTATTCGCAATATTTTTTTATACCAGTCAAAGTTTTTGGATGGATAGGTATAACTCTCTCATAACAGCCCATAGCACCCTTCTCTTGCTGAACGACTCTTCTACTTTGACTGTTTTCATATCAAAAACAAGTAGCCATCTTATTAAGAAAAATAAATATCGTCCTTCAAAAAAAAAAAAAAAAAAAAAAACTATCCAATGGTTTTCATAAACCCGCCCTTTGGCTGGAACGACTGTACGAGTATAAATACTCGCCTTACCCGTACAATTAGGCATGAACGTATGTAACTTTCAGCTATCTATCTATTGTTAAGCATGGATATAAAGTCAACGTCTTAAACTTTGAAAAAGGTTCATCATGACGACAGTTCACAACTCGGGTTTTAAATGAGAAGATATCTCAAAAATACCGCTTCTCTTTAACCAGATAGCTCAGTCATCAATCGATAGTCTTTCTTTTTATTCCATCTCCAAAATATTTCAGTAAGCTTAGTTCGAGCGATCACTGAAGAAGGCAGGAACAGGGTGCGAGGCATGGAACACTGAAATGAGTCTAAAGTGAAAAGATGTGTAATCAATATTTTATACTCCGTCTACTAAACCTAAAAGACGCTAATTTGGGTTGAGTGTGTTCGTACAAAATTCCACGAATTGGGATAACCCAGATCACAAAGGTTAAGAGAATGGATTAGTACATATTAAAATTTATGCAAATAAGGAATTTTGATATGTTTGCTTGTATCTCAAGTATGTTTGTAGTCCTAATCATAGACTTACATTATGGTTATATCGTGCATCAGTGTCCCTGTCTAGCTATGGGCAGATGGGCTGGGTCGCATAGATGTCAGATAACTGTGTCAAGTAATTGGTATGCTGATCAGTATTATTCATCAGATAACAAAAGCATATTCAATGAATAGTCATATTCAAAATAGCATTACACAATGTGGACAGTGGAGATGTCAAAGCATTGACATCTATCGATCAATTGCCGAAGTTATTATCTATTCAACAAAGGGCAACCCGTAAGATGTGAAGGGGCAGACAGGTGTAAATATAAATCAGTATTATGTTCGCAAACCCAGTTGAAGAGAGAGGGGGGGGGGGAGGTTAATTGGTAATTCCAGGTGGTGACGTAAAATTACTAAAAGGTATATCGTACGATGATTTTGATATCCAACCTTGTTTGTCATGTGGTAACAAACACATACACCCAAAGGATACCTTCTTTGATGAGAGCGTCATGAAATGTGCTAAAAAATCAGAAGTTGTTGTAAACGAATCCACAACGGGCTAGCTTGCTCTTTGACATTTTCTTTTTTTGTTTTTTGTTTTATTTGTCAGTTGTTCTTTTCTACCACATATTTGACAAGCTATTTTTTCCCCAAGATCATCATGAAGAAGACCAATAAGAGCATACTATCGATTGTATTGGAAGAAGCATGTTGAATGAACAGAGTTGTATTAAAATCAATGTTCAATTTGATTGGCCCTTAAAAAAAGGGAGGCATATAACAACAAAATTTATTTCTTTTTTTACGGTAGCCTATTCTTTTTTCTTTTTGTTTTCTCTAAAAAAAAAATAATATTACACACACATACACATAAATTATTGTATACACTTTTTTTTTTTTTTCGTAAAATTCTCAATAAGTTGATATGCGTAGAGCATCGAAAAGAGCCATGACGACTGATGGCGGTTTGCCATTTGACTTATCGACAGTAAAAACGAAAGCTGATGAAGACCATGTACGTAAAAACAAGAGAATCTTTGGTATAAAGGAAGCACCTACCTTTTATCCAACAAGAGAAGAATTTAAAGATCCCTTGAGTTACATTGAAAAGATTAGCCCACAAGGCGAAAAATACGGCATTATCAAAATAGTGCCACCTAAAGATTACAAACCTGAATTCAGTTTAAAAACAGAGGTAATAGAAACAAAACAAAATAAAAATAAATAAAAAAAATGCAACCGTTATAGAAAATCAGCATATTTATCATATACAATAATAGAACTTCCGTTTTAAAACTCGTATTCAAAAGTTGAATAGTATGGAGGGTGAAACTCGTACCAATGTCAACTATCTGGAACAATTGACAAAGTATCATATATTAACTGGAAGGCCAGTTGGAAAAATACCCCAGTTAGATAAAAGACCCATCGATCTCTATAAGCTCAAGAACGAAGTGGCTCAAAGAGGTGGTGTACAAGAAGTCACTCGATTAAAGAAATGGGCTGAAATTGGAAGAAACCTGGGTTATGCACGCAAACAATGTACTTCCATGTCAAACGCTCTCAAGTCCGCCTACCAAAAAGTAATTTTGCCTTATGAAATCTGGTATGCCAAACATAAGGAAGATGTGGAACATATCATCAAGAAAGAAGGTACAGCATAGGATGGGGATTATACAATACGGAACGTAGCTAATCCCTTATATATATTTTTTTAGACTCCATTACAAATAATAGTGGTACGAGTAGTGATACCTGTGAAATATGTCAAAAAAACGAGAACGAGGAAAAACTATTACTATGTGATGGATGTAACCGTGGATACCACATGTATTGTTTAAGCCCTCCTTTAAACTCCATCCCAAAAACGGATTGGTACTGTCTACAATGTTTGACTGCTGTCGGAAAAGATTATGGTTTCGAGGATGGCGAAGAATATAGTTTGGGCGATTTTCACAAGGTTTGTGACAAATTTAAGAAGGAGTGGTTTGAAAAGCTACTTGGTCATCAGAAGCCCGTATCAGAAGAGGACTGTGAAAATGAATTCTGGCGTCTAGTCGAAAACCCACATGAAACTTGTCAGGTCGAATATGGCGCAGATCTACATAGTACACAACACGGAAGTGGATTTATGGCCGCCGAACAAATGCCAAGGGGTGCCTTTGATCCATGGAATCTCAACGTTATTCCTGTTGACCCAAAGTCGCTATTTACTCACATCAAGACAGATATTAGTGGCATGATGGTACCCTGGCTTTACGTGGGTATGTGCTTCTCTGCATTTTGTTGGCATAATGAGGATCATTACACTTATTCGATCAACTACATGCACTGGGGTGAAACAAAGACTTGGTATGGTGTGCCTGGTTCAGATACCGCTAAATTTGAAGAGACAATGAAAAAGGCTGTGCCGGAATTATTTGAACAACAACCAGATTTACTATTTCAACTAGTCACAATGCTTAGCCCTGGTCGACTCTTGAAAGAAAATGTGGATGTGTACGCTGTTGATCAGCGTCCTGGTCAATTTGTCATTACTTATCCCAAAGCCTATCATTCTGGTTTTAATCACGGTGTAAGCAAATATCCCATTTTTTTTTTTCTTCTTTGAATATTTGTATTAACTTATCAAAATAGTTTAATTTCTGTGAAGCAGTCAACTTTGCTCCTGGAGAATGGGTGGATTATGGACTGGAATGTGTCAAACGTTACAAGGATTTTAGAAGGCAGCCATGCTTCTCTCACGATGAATTATTAGTCACCGCTGCTCAGAATATTAAATCAACCAACAACATGGATTGGTTAAAACGTGGTCTAGTAGAAATGCAGAAGAGAGAATTAAAAGAGCGAAATGCTATTCGAACAAGAAGAATGAAGGAATCTTTATTAGAATCAGATACGCGCGAAGAGCTACAGTGCGTCTTTTGTAATTGCTATACCTATCTTTCTCACATTGCCTGTGAATGTACCGACAAAGTATCTTGCTTGGATCACAGCTCAGAGGTAAACAATACCGTTCATTTTTTTTTTAATCGTAACATGTTTATCTCATCCTTTCTTTTTCTTTTTTCATGCAATTATTTTAGCTGTGTACTTGTGACCTGTCATCAAAAACCCTTCATCTACGATTTACCGATAAGCAATTAGACGAAATGACAAAAAATATCCTCCACTCAGATTCAAATCCCGATGACTGGATCGAGAAATTAAACAAGGCCATCACATCCAAACCAAGTCCCACCATGAAGGGCTTAAAAGAATTATTGAAGGAAGGTCAGGAAGCTAGTGTACCACAAGAATCATTAGATACATTGAAAGATTATATTGATGTTGTCGATAATTGGTGTTCCGATGCCGAAAAATTGCTCAGTCTCAAGTCCGAATCCAAGTCTTCCAGCAAGAAAAGAGATCAACGTATACGCGACTTGATCCACCAGGCTGCACTCATCGGATTTGATTTACCTCATGTTAAACAGCTAAAGACGTATGCGGAACAACTGGAAGCTTACACGGCTAAATTGACAGATCATGTTTTGGCTTCCACAGACAGAGATATGCAATCAGAACTCTATCAAGAGGGATTGCAGTTACGTGCGGATTCGATCAGGTTTAATCAACTCAAGAATTCATTGGAATCATGCTCTTGGGAAGAGCAAGTGGAAAAAGCGATTCGACTGCCTTTCAATCCAAAAACCATTCGAAAATTAATCAAAGATGCAGAGGATCTTGGTATGACCGACGCTGATGGACCATGGTTAAAACGCCTTATTATAATGGAAGAAAGGGGAAGAGATATCACCCAACATATTGAAAACATTTGTAAAGGAAGAGAAAAAATCGAATTTGATCAAGAAAATACCATTTTACAGATTGGCGAAAACAAACAAGATCCCAACGTATCCATCATACTCGACCCTCATTTGCTGAATCGACTCAAAAATGCCATGTCAAGATCAAAGAGCACCATCCGTGAAATTGAAAACATGTTAGACTTTCAAACTGCAACCGCTGATGTGGCAGAAAGACCTTCCTTGACAGACGCTCAACGGTTGATGTCCATGTGTCGGGAATTGAGTTTTAAAACAGATTTGGTCACACGTTTGTCAAATGCATTGACCCAGACTGGATTATGGAACGATCAACTCAGATCCACTTTTATGAACGGACGTCAAAAGTCTTTAGAAACCGTCATTCGAGAAACCCTCAATAATGTACAGAGAATCACCACCAGTGAAGATAAAAAAGGTATTTGGTGTGTCTGTCGAAAGGCTGAAGCTGGGTTGATGATAGAATGTGATATATGTCATGAATGGTATCACAGTTCGTGTCTTAAAGTACCCCGTAACGTTGTACGCTCATCAAGTTCCTATGTCTGTCCCATTTGTAATCCAACCGAAACAACCAAAAAAATAACGCATCTTTCTCGACAACCCAAGCTGGAGGAAATTAGTGATTTACTCGAAACGGGTGAATTACTAAAATTTAAACCCAAGGACTACAGTATTATTGTTGATATACATTCGCATATGCAACAGTATAGGAATAGAGTACAAGCTTTTTGTAGATCGCGTCCACTACTAGGATTACAGGATTTACCAAAGATCAGGTTTTATCTACGTACAATGACAGGACTGGAAGTCGCCTTACAGGATGAAACAGACTTTTTACGAACAAAGATCCAAGCATTAGCACCTATTTCGTCTACACTCATCACAACAACAAGCTCGCATAAAATAACTACGGGTAATGTTGAAAATACGGCGATGAAGCCTACATCAATAGGATCTGATCCTTCTACACCTGATCGTAAATTATCCACTGAAAGCCGTAAGTAGCATAAAACTGTATACGAATATGGATGTGCAATTTTCTAATGAACCCCCCCCCCCCTTTTTATTTTTTTTTAGATTCACCTCGTTTATTGTTAACAAATATGAGACGAGATGAAATCACATCCCCTAGGCCTCAAAAAATTATAAAATTGACTGTCAAGCCTCCTGCATTGCCAATGAAAAAAACTGCATCTCATCATAAAAAACGTCAATATTCACCCGAAGAAGATAAACACCATACAAAAAAACATCGATCACTCAATGATGATGCTCCTTATCGCTCACATCATCGTATTTAAAATCCTCTCTCTCCCCCCCCCCCACAACACAACACACACTTATTTTCTCACCATGTACATAAATTATTAAGCAAATCATTTTCGGCACGCAAAGTCTCTCCCCCCCCCCCCACTCACTCAATTTCACACTAATACTCTATTATGTTCCATATTCTCTTGTCCTCCATTGTACAGTGTTAGCAATAATGAATTCAGACAAATAAAATTCAATTTCGGACTAATGAAAAGTATGATCATTTCATTAAAAAAAAAGGGATACTGTTTCTTGTATTAGTTGTAGTCGTATAATTTATGTATGTCAATGTATTATAGTAAATGAGCCATTTATAATAATAGCTGTTCTTTTCACTGGGTAGCTAATCCATTGCGAAAATTATTAATGTTAAGTTGTTTTTAAATACTTTACAGCACTTTCAAGTCTTTGGGAAAAAAAACCATGAATTCTTTCTTGCAACAGAACACATTGTTGCTTATTTAGGGAAATACAGCTACGCATGCGTCCTAGCAAGCATGAATACTTACATGTCTATAGAATACACCTATCATTTATACTAAAAAATTTTAATGTGTTTCTAAACTAAACCTGACGCTTGTATTATCTGAAGTGGCTTCAGATTAAGTTTTAACTAGTGCCCTGTGTTCTAAAAAAAAAAAAAAAAAAAGTTGACATTTACCCACTCACCTTAGCCGAACAACTTTTTACTCCTTCGTATAGACCCCCATATCCTTCAGCTGTAACCAAACTAAACCTCAAACATATGTTCACTCACATCTAGATTATAATTAATTATCCAATTTGCAGCTCGCATAATAGAATTTGTTCACAGTGTAATATACACATCATCGTTTTCGATAAGTCGTTTATGTGTAGCTTTCCACCACATGCTTATAATGAGACTTGAACGAAAATCTTGAACATAAATTTGCTTTAAAGCAAAGCACCCTGCCTCCTTTACAGATATATTTTATTCAGTACTTGAGTTCCGACGTTGGTGTTTTTTTTTTCGCATGATTCATTTGTCAAAAGGACAACGACATAAAATCACTTTGGAATGCAAATATTTCATACAAATGCAATTATGCGGTGGTAAGATATATACTCTACATTACGTTTTAATGATACTTCTAGTTCCTTGTTAGTATATACGCAAGCAAGATAAAGTTTGAATCGTTGGGGGGTTTAGTGGCAACCAATATTTATCAGCAACTGTACTTCAAACCTTTTTTTAAATTCAGAATGACGTGTGACCATCGTCACTTTTTGACAATACATAATGCAGAGAGAGTCTAAAAAATTATTCTTTGCATTTTCTTTCTTCTACTTATATCCCAATCCTCAAAAAAAAAAAAAATATGACCACCATTCATACTAGTAAATCAACACCTCTTGCTGGTGTAAGTCGTGATTCAACCTCCCAAATAAAAACGAAGCATCACGGTAAAAAGTTGTCAAAAAAAAAAAAAGTGCTACTGTAAATGTGTGATACTGATGCCATTCTTGTTTAGTGCAACGTGAGCAAACTGCCGAATTTGTCAAAACAGAAATTTTCCATATTCTTGCATGGAAAAACCCTACCCGTTCTGCATTTTTGTTTGCATGTTTCATCATTGGTGTTTACTTGACAGAGTATTATTCTTGGTTTTATCTCGGATCGTATACCTTAACACTTATTATTGGTTTCAACCTTATTGTTGTTGTTGTCACCCATTTATGCTCAAAGACAACGCATGATAAATTAGCAAACAATCCTTACAGGTAAAAAAAAAAAAAGTAATTCCTCTAGAAAACGATCCCACAAAAAAACGCTAAACAATTTAAAGGCAAATATTAGAAGATCGAGAAAATCGTACCTTTGTCAACAAAAAATCTGTATTGCACTATGTATCCATGCTCGTTGACATCTTGGAGATGATGCTTTTGGCGTTAATTGATATTGTTTGTGTAAAAGATAACAAGTCAAGTGTCAAGGTAAAAAAAAAAAAAAAAAAAAAAAATGTAGTAAAAAATGACATCATATTTAATTTTTTTTTTTTTTTTAGTGGCTGATCATTTCTTTGATAAGTTTGCTCATGTCAAGCTTTGTGTCTGGTACAGTGATTTTTACTTGGGCTATTGTGGTTGCGTTTGTATCACTTCCAATTTATAGTCGAAACCAAGCATTGATCAATGCACGTATCCAACAGTTGGGAGGTATTGTCAATGCTCGTTTATAAAAAAAGAAAGACTTACTTTTTACTTTGTCTTGGAACATGAATTACCCACTGCTGGAATCAACTAAAAACAAAAAGCCAATTAAATCAAGATATCGGAGCCCTCCCCCCTCGTTCTTGTGTAGCATCAAAAAATAAATAAAATAAATTGTTTTTTATTTTATTTCCCCTCCCCTTTGTCTTTTTTTTTTATATATATATTTTTATCAATAATAAACATGCCATTTTCTGAGGCCATCGATAATCGATCTACGCTTAGTGCACCAAATCAACCATCAGGCAATAATGAAGATGTGCCTGATTTTACCACGTTTAAATTAGAAGGATTTAAAATGAATTCATCGACAGAAATCAACCCTTCACCACATCGATTACGTGAAGCACGCAGATCCCTCGTGTTATTTTTAGAACCTAACCCGGGAACACCTATCCAAACATCATTTCAAACGTTTCAAGAAAAGACCATCATTCAATTTGGCCCTAATCAAGCGCATAATACGCCTTTACATATATCCATTCTCGGCAGAGTATTGATTGAACGAGGTTCGGATTTTTCCACTAAATGGGAAACAGTAGAAGAGTTTGTTGAAGTGTTGGATGAAGAAATAGCAAGACATAAATTAAAAGCTCCCAATTTCACGAGTTTTGAAATTCTGGATAAACCAACTCGATCTCTTGTGATTAACGTTCGAGTGAGTTCAGATTACCACAACTTAGGTAAAGCCATTGAACAACGCATGGCTTCGAAATGTACAGCGTTGGAAGTCAGTCCCATGAACAAAATCCATCTTGCTTATAATGTATTGAAATCAATTTCAAGACCTGCTCTAAAGAACTTGAAAGAGAAAGCAGAATCGACTATTGATATTTATGACTGGGTAAAGACAGGCGGGTCCTGGAGACTTTCTCTTTATGAAGTCATGTTGGAAAGTCAAGTAGTGGGTGTACAACAACAATTAACCGAAATTCGTTCTTGGCCTATTCAACCCAAATCACAAGATTCTTTTGCATCCAATTTACCTGTCTCACTTCGTATCAAATTAGCTTTCCTTTCCTCTTGGTTTAAATCCTCTTCCTTCTTACCTAAAAAGCCAGCTCCTCCTCCTGTACAACCTACCAACGCCATGGTTATCCGTCGTAGAGCTCCTCAACAAACCTTTTAATCCCTTTTTTGTTGTCTTTATCCAAAACACACATACACACTCTTTTCTTTCTCTCTTTCTTTTTTTAAAAAAAATAAATAAAATATACAATATAAATAGATTTCATACTAGTAAATTTATTCTTCTTAAACAGTGTATATTGGGGATCGGCTTGTTATAAAATCTATTCCATTTTGACATCGTCATCCACTCCACGAATGTAAAGAACATTGTTACATCTATTAGAAACAAATTTCCTCTTCCATTAGTTTTCCCTTTTCATGTTTATCAAGCCAACAGATCTACTTTTTTTTTTTTTTTACCTGATTAACACTTCACCAAGTGTACCGACGGAAATACCACCTTGGTATTCTTCTGTGTTTGCCAACTAAATCAAACATGTTAGACAACTGGTTAAAAAAAAAAAACGCGTATTTCCCTTTTCCTACCTGGAGGTTCATATAATTATCAACAGAGACGAGATAACCATGATATTCATTACCCCACTTCAATTTGACAGCAACAGGCTTACCGGTAAGCTCATTAAGAAAAGGCTTAGGATTAACTGGTACAAACTATCAAGAAATAATAAAAAAAGGGTTTACATTAGAAATGAATTAAAAAAGATCAGAAACAGCAACCAAAAACTTACAGCAGACATGTAGGTTTTTTTTTTTTATAACAGAAGGGGGAAAAAAGACAAAAAAAAAAATGTCGGCTAAAAAAAAAAATTGTTTTTATTTCATTGGCAAAAAAAAAAAAAAAAAAAAAAAAACGAGAAAAGAAAAAGTGACGTAGCTTGCTTTACACTTTTTTTTTTTTTTTTTTTTGAATAGGCGCATATGTCAAAAATGATCATGTCTATCTTTTATGCAAACCTTCCCGTTGCTACGCTATGCAGAGACATTAAGATCGATTAGCTGCCACTGTCAAAAAAAAAAAAAAAATTAGCCAAGAATTAGCATAATAATAATGAATTAAATACTATAGTTCCTGAAGCAGATGGATCCCATAGGATACCAACACGCATCTTTGTACATCGAATAGCCAGCCTACCATTGTGGATTGAAGCGTATGTAGCCCTGTTGTCTGTCATGTTACATAATTTAACACTACCTACTTTATAGTAAGAGATGATCTGATAACTACTCCACACATAGCTGCTACATATATCTTTTTTGTGTTATTATAGAAGCGCGCGCGACCTTCCCCCCCCCCTTTCCCTTCCTTTTCCTTTTCTTACACACACATGGATTCTACTTTTTTGGTCTATTCGCATCTAAAATCTATTTTATTTTTATTTTATCTTTTTTTTTATGGCGTACTATCATACTCAAACAAGTGATCAAAAGCCTCACCACACCCTTTTTCCTGCATCCAAGCCTGCAACAAACTTAAACTATTTCTGTTACCAAACGGACCATGAATATCAAACTTGAGTTCAGCCATATCCTGAAACAAACGTTGTTCGTTCAATCTAGCCATGTTATCACATTCAACCACTTGTTTCCAACGAGAAGACATCTTTCGATGTCCAGCAGGTATACTTGCCCAAGAGATGGTCTTGATATCATTAATGAATTGTACCACTTTTTTCTCGGTACCTTCTAAACACATCATACCGGGTTTACCAGGAACCAAGACACCCGTGATACCATATTTTGGTGCCCAATCGATAATATCTCCTCTCTACATTGACACCCACAACCACCTTGGTTTATCAATTTTTCGCTGCCCTTTTCTTTCTTTCTCTCTCTCTCTCTCTCTTAAAGGCTTACCTTTTCTCGCGTGTAAATCATGGGAAACCAAATCCATTCTCGCAAGAAACGAAGTGGACCGTTGTCTGCATTGGCCAAGTTGGCAGTGACAGCTTGTGCCTTTTTTTCATTGACGTAGTGTCGAGCCAAAGGTTCCGCCAAGTCTTGTAAATGTTGCATGCGTTCAATAATTTGTGTTGATCGCTCCTCCTCCTCGTCGTTTTTCTCTGCTTGCATAGCAAGGAAAGGTTCCAAGAGGGTTTGATGTTGTTGTCGCGATAACCACCCACCGTTAGAAGAGGCAGGTAAAGAGAGTTGATAGTCCTTTATATTTACCAACGAAATGCGGCCTTGAAATATCAAATGGAATAGAATATCTTCTTCCTCGGGTAATTCAACCGGTGCCTTGATGGTGAATTGAAGGGTGGGAGGTAAAACGGGTGGTAGTTCATCCCAAGTGTCGGATTCCCAGCATGTTTGTAAAGTCTTGTACAAGGTAGCCTCTGTCTCTGTATCAAACTCGAATTCTTGGTCAAAGTAAATGGATTGTAACAAGTCAATGGTGTTGACAGCATCGGTCAAGGGCTGTGTATCTACCATCCCTTTACAATAAAAAAAAAAAAAAACAAAAAGTTTCAAGTCACAAATTAAAAAGGGCTGTTTATATATATATTATTTTTTTTACGAAACGCGGGTTAAACACCTTTTTTTTTTTTTTTTGTATAACTAACAAACTACACAGACAGACAACCATGAGTACAACGGGAACACATCTGGGAAATACTCCCATGAATTTAGCAAAATTAAGAGAGCTTTCCAGACGAGAATTACCAGAGATTCTAGATAAAGTAAAGTGTTCTACATGAGGAAACAAGATGTTCCCCTCTCATGACTCAACCCTTTTTTTATTGTTATTTAGGTTCGAGGAAAGAAGGGACTTGTGTTAGACCCTACATTAACTGGACCACTTAGTTTGATTGCCGAATTCTCTCTACTCAAGGTAAGAACCCCATAAGTTTACCCCCTCTCTCTCTCTCTTCCATAACTTAAACCTATATATATAACAAGGACCATGGTGTGGAGAAAATCTACCACCTTGATTCTGATACACTTGAAACCGAATGTCCAGGACTCATCTATATCTGTCGACCCAAACTCAAATACATGCGATTTATTGCCAGTAACGTATCCCTGTAGCTCAACCCCCCTTTATTTTATTTTACTTAAAACTCTTTTATAGATCATATCAAACACTTTTCAAAGACGACCAAAGTGGATTGTTGGTTATTTTTTGTACCTGAACGTACCATGATTTGTGAACGTGTATTGGAAGAGGAAGGTGTCAAGGGTGATATCACCATTGGTGATTATGCTATGGATTGGATTCCCTGTGAAGATGATTTAATTTCTATGGAATTAGATCCTTCCACTTGGAAAGAGATATACCTGGTAAAAAAAAAAAAAAAAACTGGGTGTGCTATAACCTTTCCCAACTCACCCTTAAAAAAAAAAAAAATAGGACGGAGATCAAACCTCGATTTATTATGCAGCAAAATCATTGATGCGACTTCAATCAATCTATGGATTATTCCCTCGTATCATTGGTAAAGGTGATGCAGCCAAGGTATGTAACAGAAACAACAAAAAGAACGAGATGAAGGAACTGAAAAAAAAAAAATTGGGTGTATGAAACATGGTAGCAATTGGCCGATATGTTATTACGTATGAGAAAAGAACAATCGGTGACGGATGAAGTATCCAATACGACATCAGCAAAGACACCTTCTTTACTCAATAGTGTATCCAACCATATTGATCAGTTCATTATTATTGACCGTAATGTGGATCTTGTCACACCTTTATGTACGGAGTTGACTTACGAAGGTTTGATTGATGAGACAATTGGTATCAAACATTGCTTTGTGGAACTGGATGCATCTTTAGTCAACCCAGCACAACAACAACAACAACAAACGGGTGCAAAGGGTGTACCTCCCACCACAAGTAATGCAACCCCTTCCACACCCAGTTTAAACACGACATCCCCTACCAAGAAAAAGAAGTATGTCTTAAACTCTTCGGATAAACTCTTTAGTCAATTACGAGATCAAAATTTTGCTGTGGTCGGTGGTATGTTGAACAAGATTGCTAAACGAATCAATGAAAATTATGAGGAAAGACATCATGCAAAGACCGTTGCCCAAATTCGTGATTTTGTGGGTCGTCTCAGTGAACTTCAACAGGAACATCAGTCATTGAAAATTCGTAAGTTGTGGGATCTCTCCCCCCCCCAAGAATCTTAAAATTTTTTTTTTGTCTAACCTACCAGAGATAAGATACTGGGATTGCTGAGGAAATCATTGGACATACTGTAACGGATGAGTTTAATAAGGTTTTAGAAGTCCAACAAAGTAACGTGTTGAATTTCCTCCTCCTCCCCCCTTTTTTTGATTGTCCGCTTATCCCTTTTTTTTTTTTTTTACTTTTATAGATGTTGTGGCTGGTATTGATGGTAACAAGGAACCCGAGTATATCGAGGAAATGATTAATAAGCAAAAACCTTTGGTGCAAGTACTTCGATTACTTTGTTTAATGTCCTTAGCTCAAGGAGGATTAAAGCCTAAATTATTTGATCATTTCGAACGAGAGATTGTGCAGGTAAAAAATTAATTGAATGAGCGCCTTTTTATTTTTGGGGGGTGGGGGGAGGAGGAGGTTTGGTGGGGGGGGGAATGTTTGTGACTCATATTTTTAATGGGTTAGGCGTATGGATATGAGCACATCGAGACGTTACACCGACTGGAAAAACTCGGGCTTTGGCAGAAAAGAACGGCAGCTTCCAAAAGTACGTTTGCCCAATGTCGACGTATGCTTCGATTGATTGTGGATGATGTAGATGAATTTCACCCGAATGATATATCGTATGTTTACTCGGGTTATGCTCCACTGAGTATTCGACTTGTACAATGTGCCATGCAGAAATTGGGACAAGGGTCTATTCAGAGCACGGGTACAAGTGCAGCTAGTTTGTTTTCATATATGGGACAAAGTACAGCTAATTTTGCAGCACAAGATAAGAACAACCATAAGGGTGGGTGGCGTGGATCCGAAGATATTTTGAAACTCATTCCTGGTCAAGCCTTTGATATCAAACAGACAGTCGAATACGGTGCAGAGACCAATGCTGCTATGGCAAGAGCGAAAAGACATGGATTACAGCATGGTAAAACTACCATCATCTTTTTCTTGGGTGGATGTACTCATACGGAGGTATCGGCTGTTCGCTTTTTAGCTCAGCACGATGAAGGTCAGTGCATATACATATATATTTATATATAAAATAGAAACCAACCCACACCACTTTTTTTCTTTTCTCTCTCTCTCTCTCTCTTAGGCCGAGATTATTTGGTTGCTACCACTCAAATCATTAACGGTAATTCATTTTTGGCACCCATTATTCAAACGAGACAAGAGTAAACGGTCTCTCTTATCATTGGCTCATGACCAGTTACCCAACAAGTCGGCCCACCAAAAAAAAAAAAAAAAAAAAAAATTAATAAAACATTACAGAATTTTTTTTTTTTTTTTTTTTTTATTTCATATTCCCTTTTTTTTTTTTTACTTTTTAACAAATAAAAAAAAAAAAAAAAAAATAGAATGGCACCACTCTCTTTAAAAGTCAAGGGAAACAAGACATTTTCCAGTCTTTCCAGTTTAAATTCGGAAGATGAATTATCACAAGCATGGCGTATCTGTACTAAAGTCAAGGACTCGTTAGAAAATGGGTCAAGGCTCGAGAACCTCTCTTGGCGACTCTGGTTTCGACAACATGCAAGTCACCAAGAAAAAAAAAAGAGAGCCTTTAAAAAGTTACCCATGACCATCACACGACAGTTGAATACACTGTCTAAAATAGAACCCCTTTATAAACCACCACCACCATGTTTGAAAATGGAAGAAAAAGAACAACAACCTTACATGGAACAATTACTACTCGACCAACCTCTTTTAGACTGTTTCTTACCACCACCACCTCAACAACCACCACCACAACAACAACAACAACAAAACGAGGCAACAGACTATAGTTTTAACACCCATGCCGAGGACAACATGGTTGCTTTGGACGATATCTTTAGTGCCTTCAACAATGGGTTTCAATTACCTAATAATAATAATAATAATAATAATTCAACCACAACCGATATGGGGATGGCAGATGGCTGGGATTTTGGCTATCCTTCACCTACCAACCCTTATTACTCACCTACCCAAACACCCGCTAGTCCCAATACGACTCATTTACTCGGCTATGAAACGATGAATGAGAATGATGCCATGTATGTGTCGAACACCAGTATGCCACCACCCCCTGTTGCTACGTTACGAAACAAATTACTGGAAAATCAACAGATACGGTTTAACAACAAGACACCTCCCATGTCTACCTCCACAAGTGCTAGTACCGCAGCCAGTGCTCATTCCATGGCGTAAGTTCTTTTTTTTATTTTTATTTATTGGTTACTGCAACAAAAAAGTTCATTGATACCTATTTTTTTTTTTTTTTTTTTTTTTTTTTTTTTAAAAAAAATAAGGGTGAACGAGTATTCAGAGTCAATTTATTCCGCACCCAATTCTCCACCGCCTTTTCCCGCCATTTACGAAACGACAACAACGACGGGAACTAAATTAAGAAAATCCGCCATGATGGTGACATCGCCTTCAAGTCCATCCGCAGCACCAACAGTAGTAGCAGGCGTGGCGAGTGCGAGTGATGGACAGTCCCCACGACCTGTGTGTACCAATTGCAGTGCAACCACTACACCCCTTTGGCGAAGATCAGCTCAAGATGAATTACTGTGTAATGCCTGTGGCCTATAGTGAGTAAGACCCCCCACCATACTATATTTTTTTTTTTTGATTGTCTCTCTCTCTTTTATTTATTTATTATTATTACTTCTTTTTTTCAATTCATTCATTTCACAAACTGACTTGACCCATTTACTACTACCTATTTTCTAGCCAAAAATTACATAATGCACCGAGACCCAAGACATTAAAACCTCATAATGCACGAAAAGAAGCGAAAGATGATGAAGCCTCACAGTTGGTCTGTTCCAATTGCTCCACTACAACTACACCTCTCTGGCGGCGTGATGATGAAGGTGCACCACTGTGTAACGCATGTGGACTCTAGTAAGTACACAAACACACAAAAAAAAAAAGATGGGCTGTCAAATTAAAAAATATTATATTTATAGTTTAAAATTACATCATGAAAAGAGACCGTTATCGATGAAGACAGATGTGATCAAGAAACGACAACGGTATGAGAGTAGTAGTACGAATACAACGGGGGGGAATCGAAAGCAGAATAATGGAAAGAAGAGTAAGAGTGAAGCCAGTGCGCCACCTTCACCCAATGGTATGGAAACATTATTTACGTTTCCGTTTAATGAACAAGAGCCACAACAACATTATGGTTTCTCGGATGATTTATTACCCAACTTTTATTAATTTTATGAAGAAAGAGGTTTCACGACTTTTCTAAATAAATCCCTTTCGATCCTTTTCTTGTACTGATCCAACGTTTGTTCGAAATCCATGACGGTTAAAGCAGGTTCATGAGATATCCAGAACTGATTGAAATGATAGAATAAATAACAATAAAACTCATGATAGGATGTGTACTCGAATAAGAACATTTGGAGTTGTTTACGCTCTAATAATTGATAAGCGAATTTGGTAAGATTGATCCCTACAATGGCATAAGGATACCATGAGACAGGATGGGAGGCATGTTGTAATACAGAGTGTGCATGTTGAGGGTAATTTGTGACAAAATACAACAAATCATCCAGTCCTCCCATACCCATACCTCGAAAATCAGTGGCTGGATCGGTGCCTTGAAATCCAATATCCACCCATTGTTTCGAATGACGACTTTTTAATGGTTCATCCGGTTTCATTTTATTCCATAACATCTTTAACTTGTCTTCATGTTCTGTATTGTTCCTGTCATATTTGGTCTGTATTTGTCTTTCTACCCCATACAACACACAGTTGGTTTGATGAATACGACCCAGACCGATCGCTAATATCTCGGTGGCAGCAGGTGAAAGACACTTTTTAGCACTGACGGTGGTTGTGACAGCGACTAGATCACAGTCGGGTTCTTGTAAGGCTCTTTTCTCTGCTACGAGTTGCTTTGAGTAAAAGATGGACTGATCGAGACGGTAGAGAAGGGCGATGGATGGAGAGGCAAGTTTCTCTCCACCCGTATTCACATTGCATAAGCGGTATATTTCAGAGGTCTGTGTGGTAATGTGAACAAGGTATTTTAGTCCTTTATATACTGATAAAAGTAAAGGAGAGCGGTAAATGTGTTGAAACACCAATAATAAGAACCAGTGCATTCTTTGGGGGGTAAAAGAAAAAAAAAAGGGGGGTTAGAGAGGCAAACTTTTTTTTTTTTTTTTTTTTTTGCTTTTTTTGATTGGAGAGAAAAAAAAAAAAAAAAAAAAAACGCGGGTTCCAAACAAGGTTGCGCGCGCGCGGGAACTTTTTTTTTTTATTATTATTTCTTCTTCTTAATATAAATGCCAACGATTCGAGAATTATTACAGAGAAGAAATAAAAGTGAAAAGGACAAGGAAGAAGAGGAATTACAGTTAGCATTGGAGTTAAGTGCAAAGGAACAATTGAATGAACAACAACGTTTATTAGAGCAGTTCTCTAAAAAATCTCAAAAAAGGACAACGAGTATTCGTAAACAAAGGATTATCAAACGAGAAAGAGAACCAGAAGAAGAAGAGGAGGATGCATGGTTTCAAACCGTGTCAAGTCGACCACAAAAAGTAGTCAAGAAGGTTAAAAAGGAAAGTGAACCCTTTCAATTTGACATGGATTCTATATTTCAAAGTGAAGAAGAAGAAAATGAGGATAAGGTTATTTTAAACAACAAACAAGAGAGGTCTTTTTTTGCATAAATTAAACTCTCTTATGTTTAGGCTCAAATGATATCAGATTCAGATTCAGACAGCAGTATAATTGATCTGGTTAACATGCCGGATCCATTACCACTACCACCGAGAGAAGAGGAGGAGGATGGTTACTTGTCACCATTGGAAGGGTTCAAGAGTCTCAAGGAAGATGCTAATCCATCCTTTCTGTCACAGCTGCAACCTGCACCGAAAAAGAAACGAGGGGGAGCAACAGCAACTAGTACAGGAAAGAAGAAGCCTTACAAGAGAAAGAATAAGTGGGCCCGTAAAAGAAAACGATGAATAAGGACAAATAAAAATAAAAAAAAATGATGTGGAATGAGGAGACTGTGTACAAATCATGTGGTCTTTTTGTTTTTTTTTTTTTTTTTTTTTTTTTTTTTTTAATTTCACTATAAAAAGACAGCCATTATTTTAAAGTGCCACCCTCCCACTAGTTAAATTAAAAAAATAATGTATATAACGCGTACAAATAAAGATGCAGCACTCTCGACACGCTTGTCAACCCTCTCTCCCTAAAAAAGCACAAATGAACTTTTTTTGTATGAGAGACACCTATCCTTCCAAAAAAAAAAATTTTTTTTTTTTTTATAACCCCCTTAAATTTCCCCCCCACCCCTTTTTTGTATTGATATAAATGAATTGGAGAAACAAACAACACCCAATAACACATCATTTCTCTCTTTCTTTTCTCTTTCTTTCTTTTTCATATAATCATGATGACCGATAACAAGAAAAACCTTACCGAAAATGATTGCTTAATGTATCGTCCCTTTGGAGGTGGTGACATTCAGATCAAGAGAGACCACTACTCTACTTCACTCGATACTCGGGGTTACATTCCTGGTAAATTATCATCTTTTTTTTTTTTACATCTATATATATTTGCTCTGTTATTTATCATTAAAAACGCGTCGTGTGTAGTGTATGAGTATATAATCAATAATACGCCCATCATGTGGGATAGAGAGACAGGTTATGTTCATTTTACCGGCATTTGGAAAGCTCTCGGTAACTCCAAGTCAGATATTGTCAAAATGGTCGATTCAAATCCAGAACTCGGTACAAGAAAGATACGCGGTGGTTTCTTGCGCATCCAAGGCACATGGTAAAAGCAATCATTCTATACATTCATTCTTTTTTTTAACCCACCAAAAAGGATCCCCTATGACTATGCTCACCTACTCTGCAAGAGAACGGCGTGGCACATCCGAAAAGAGCTCGTTCCTATCTTTGGACAACAATTCCCGCTAGAAGCACTGCATCCTGATCATCCAGACTACGGTTGTTTACTACTGGACCCACTCACCCGTAAAAAATCATCGCTGCACAAACGTAACACAATGCGTCAAAAACCCTACACAAAACCCTCCACCGACAACAACAGTCATCCTCCTCGTCCAAAGAAATCTGCCGTCGCTGCCGTCGTCGTCACAAAAAGAAAGATTCAGCATAAGAATAACAATAATAATAATAATAATAATCGGGTGGCTTCCAGTATGTCCGTCACTCGTCTTTTAAATACAAGCAATGAAGACAGTGATATATTATCTTCGGAAGAAGAGGATGATGATGACACAAGTTCCTCCTTTTCTTCACCTTCATTTCGCGTCATTCAAACATATCCTCCAGAAGACTGGTCTTCTCATTGGTTATTACCACCTATTCATTCTCCTTCTCCCTCTCCTCCAACACCATCACCACCACCACCACAATCACAGGTAGCTCCCTTAGCAACATCAACAACAACAACAGCTGCTGCTGCATCACCGCATATCGCCCAAGACATCATCGATACCATCAGTGCTACTATTCTCTTACAACGTCTCTCCCAAGACGATGGTAAAAGACCCTTCAAACCATTTGAATCTACTGGTATTCCTAGCAAAGTCATTGTGGGCCATCAAGAATTCAGTATCTGCTGGGACTAATCCCTCTCTCTCTCTCTCTCTCTCTCTCTTTCTCTTTTTTTTAAAAAAATAAAATAAATAAATTAAATCGCCGTTCTATTCTGTACATTTGTTTTTTCCATCCTCATCATGTGCCGCCATATCACATACTTTACCACTGCCTAGGGATAATTGTACCCTTTTGGGGGGGAAGGCATGACACACACGAATAAACATCTCCTCCTCTTAAAATTCATGATGATGATACACCCGCAGTGAAAAGTTGGATATATTTGTGACCGTTAAATTTTTCATACAAAAAAATGCTTTCCTCTTTTTCCTTCCCACTTGTTTTGCACCGTAAAAAAAAAAAAAAAAAAAAACTTTTTTTCGCATCATGTCAGAAGAAAGCTCCCATGACCAAGAGCAGCAACCACCACAGCAGCAACAACACATACAACAACAGTCTATACAGGGACAACATTCTGTACAGGAGCTTAATTTTTCCTTGAACGATATACTCTCACAAGACCACGATGTGAACGATTCATCTTTTCAGTCCATTGTACAAACACTTTCCAATAATAATAATTCGACCGACCATGTCACACCTTCCTATGCTCATTTACCTGCAGAGTTACAAGACTTATTTTCGAACGAAACGGATGATTTACTCTCACCTCAGGGCAGTCATTCCGACGCGTCCCTATTGCAAGCAGACATCATGTGGCAACAACCTTACATGAGCTCTCCATTAAGTACACCTGGTGTCTCTGCACCCACACCTCCTATCTTACCCGTCACTCCCACACCTCTTACTTCTTCTGCACCCGTCACTCCTTCTGCTACACCAGCAGCATCCGTTGTGGCAACACCTCCACAACCCACTCCACCTGCACAACCACAAGCAACACCAACACCACCACCACCAACAACAACAACAACAACACCATCGGTGACAGCAACACCGACACCACCACCACCACCAGCGGCTGTTACCACGACACCCAATATCTCTACCCCTACTACCACCACTACCACCACCAGCTCTGCTGCTACTGCTGCTGTTGCCGCAGCGGCTGCAGCAGCTACTGCTTCATCCGTTGCTTCCTCTACCACATTACTCGACAATATCACCTCCCAATTACCTCCAGAACGTAAAGACAGATTCATTCAACTCTTTCGTGAATTACAAACAAACACTGTCTCAGCTGCTGATTTTTTACTTCAAGCAAAATCTTTATTGGGTCAACAACAGTATCAACAATTAGAGGATTTAAAGAACAAACCTTCTCAATTGGTTCAACAACAACAACAACAACAACAGAAACCTATACGACCTGTTCCTGAGAAACGTATTCTCTCTAGTTCTCAAATTCGTGCAGAAGATGCTCAACGTTCCATGCCCGGTATCATGTAAGTTTTTTTTTTTTTTATTTTTTTTTTTTTGGGATATTGACAAAAGGATTGTTTAAGTGCTCCTCAGTTAAAAAGACCCAAGAATGAACATGTACCATTCTCACCTCAACAACAACAACAACAAATGCAACACTTGCAAATGCAATTACATCAACAGCACTTGATGATGCAACAGCAACAAGCTCAACAACAGCAGCAGCAACAACAATTGCAACAAGCACAGCAACAACAACTGCAACAAGCACAGCAACAACAACTGCAACAGCAACAACAACAGCAACAACAGCAACAACAACAACAACAACAACAACAACAACAACAGCAGCAGCACCAACAACCACATCAACCATTGCAACAACAACAACAGCAGCAACAACCACATCAACCAATGCAACAACACATGTTACAACCCATGGTCGTGGTGCCGAATCAACATATGGCACAACCTGTATTCAAAACACCTGCTGTCCCTACTGCTGGTTTACAAATACCCACACGAGTACCTACCACGACGACCCCCGTTATGCCATCTCCCGCCTCTCAACCTACAACAACAACAACAGCAGCAGCAGCATCCACACCCACAACAAGGTAAGATCTATCTCTATATAAAAGGAGGAGGGGGGGGGATAATTATCTCGGACTAATATATAAAAAAAAAAAAAGCAAACAAGTGGCATCGAACTCGGCAGGAGATAGTCGTATTGATTATGAGGCATTGACAGATGTGATGGGATACGCAGGAGTAGATTTAAAAGAGGAAGCAGAACATTTTATGAAGGATCAGGATGTGCCTACAGGTATTTTGCCCGATGGTATTGATCGTTCCAAGATGCAAGATTTTATGAATACGGACATGCTGACCGATCGTATTTTGCGACACGGTAAACAAAAAAAAAAAAAAAAAAAAATTGTGAAGGAAATATGGGGGGGGGGACTGAACCATTTATATATATGTAGCTAAACGTGTGGATATCAAGGAAATTGATGATGACTTTGTTTCGTATGTGGCGCTGGCAGCTCAAGATCGTATCCGGACGGTCATGGAAAGTATGATTTCTGCTTCTAAACATCGTACGTTGGACCCGTTTCAAAAGATGGAAGGAAAAGGGTTTACCATGTGTGTGAAACAAAATGTGGGAGTCCAATTAGAAGCGTTGCGTCATGTGGCAAGGCAAACCGAACTGGATTTAGATCCCATGGAAGAACAAGATGAAAAAGAGAGAGGGTTGGGATGGTACTCGGATCGTGCTCGTCTTCCTTTGAAGAGAGTGGTGGTGCAAGATGCACGCAAGATTACAGTACAGGATGCCATTTTTGTCATGGAGAGGGATGTCCAAGGTGGAAGAGGAACAAATCAAAAGACACTTTTAAGAGCTTATAATGAATGGTTATCTTAATAAAAAAAAAAAATTTTTTTTGTGTGTGTACATATATATTTCTTTTTTTGTATATGGGGGGTTTTTTTTTTTTTCGTTTTCGTTTGTAATTTTAAATGATAAATAATAATAGAAAAAAAATTGTCGGTACCACTCGTCAAATGTAAAAAAGAGGATGAAAAACCTCAAGTTACAACTACTTTTTTGAACGAAACCATGACGATCTGTCCTACCTTTCCCGAAGGGCACAATCCATTTTTTTTAGGAAAGACCACAGGATAGAGGCAGGTGTAATATGTAAAGAAACAAACCCTCTTTTCGCCCATTTTGACAGGCTTTTTATAGATGTTTTTAATTTTTTTTTTTTTGTGCCTAAGCCACCCAAATGTCGTGACTATGAATAATCTTCATATGTGTGTTCCTGATTTAAATAAAAAATGTTGGGTGGACATTTAAAAAAACGTGCACTGTTGGTTGTCAGCATGTGACAAAAAAGGTAACACAAACATGAAAGATTTAATTATTTAAAATGAAAGGGGTCAATGCTTTTATTGTCTTGCTTTTTTTCTTGTATCTAAAAAAAATTATTCTTAGAAATGGATTTGAAACATTTAGGTTATGACCTCACAGTCTCCTTTATGACTTTTATTATTAGTCTTTTTTTTCGTGAAATAAGACCTAGAGGCTCACATCGTATCCCTACCGAGGGACCTGTTATCTTTGTCGTTGCACCTCATGCCAACCAGGTAAAAACCAAAAAAAAAAAAAAAAACCATGACAACCTCACCCTCCTCCATCCCTTTTCTGTTGTTGTTGTCGTCGTCAATCAATCAAAAACATACTCATCTCTCCTTCCCCCCCCCCTTGCACGCTAGTTTGTAGATCCTTTACTTGTCATGAGAGAGTGTAAACGTCGTGTCTCATTCTTGATAGCCGAGAAATCCATGCATCAAAAATTCGTTGGTTTTATTGCTCGTATGGTTCATGCTAGTAAGTATATTGATTTATCTCTTATTTCCCGTTTTCCCCACTTACAAAAAAAAAAAAAACTTTTATAAAAAGTTCCGGTGATAAGACCTCAAGATTTAGTGAGAAAGGGAAAAGGCACAATTCATATTGATTGCAATGATATGCTTCATGTGATTGGTACGAATACACAATTTACAACACAACTCTGTCCTTCCGACATGATTTTAATGGGAGAGGATAAAGCACAAGTGGTCGAGATTATTTCAGACACAGAATTGATGATTAAGCATGAATTTAAATTATTGGATGGAGGAGAACACGAGTATAAATGTATGCCTCATGTAGAGCAAGCATCGGTTTATCAATCCGTTCATGATGCATTAAATAGTGGTGGTTGTATCACTATCTTTCCTGAAGGTGGAAGTCATGATCGTATGGAAATGTTACCCTTGAAAGGTAAAGCGGGGCAGTCATAATATAGAAATCCATTTATATTAACCCACATTTCTTTTTTAAAAAAAAGCTGGTGTGACATTAATGGCTTTGGGTGCCATGTCCCAATATCCCGGTTTGGATGTCAAGATTGTACCTGTCGGTTTAAACTATTTTCATGCTCACAAATTCAGATCGAGAGCAGTGATCGAATTTGGTCCTCCTCTCACAATTTCTCCTCGTCTGGTAGAAATGTATGAACAGGGCGGTCAAGAAAAGAGACAGGCATGTGGGAAATTATTAAATACTATTTATGATGCTTTAAAATCCGTCACGTTAAATGCCGAAAGTTACGAAACATTAATGGTACGTTTTTTTTTTTTTTCATGAACATGCCTTCTTTTTTTTATATCTGTTGTATTCACAATGATTCAATCTGTAGTTCATTCAAGCGGCAAGAAGACTGTATAAACCTGCACACCGTAAATTACACATATCCCAAGTAGTGGATTTAAATCGTCGATTCTTAATCGGGTATAATATGAATAAGGACGACCCACGCGTGGTGGAATTGGAAGAACGTGTCTTGGCCTATAATCAGTTACTCAAGTATCACGGTATTAAGGATCATCAAGTACCTAAAACCCATGTGGGAGGTGCTCATACGGTTCTTTTAATTTGTAAGCGACTCTTTCTGGTACTCCTTTTAGCTCTCTGGGATTTCCCCGGTGCGATTCTTAATTTACCCGTGGTCATTGTGGCTAATATCATCAGTCAAAAGAAAGCAGCAGAAGCACTCAAGAGTTCCAAGGTCAAAATCGCGGGTCGAGATGTATTGGCTACATGGAAGGTCTTGGTAGGTTTGGGCCTGGTGCCTTTACTCTATTCGTTCTATAGTCTGATCGTCGGTTTCGTTCTCTACAAGACAACTACACTTTCACTGTGGCGTGTGTTACAAGTATGTGTATGTACATGGTTTGTCATTGCGGGTATCTCTTATGCTTCACTTCGATCGGGTGAAATCGGTCTGGATATTGCTAAATCTTTAAAACCCATGATCATGTCTGTCTTGGACCCTTCCGGTGCAGAAATCTTGAGACAAAATCGTAACACATTATCAGCCAACATTACAGATTTAATTAATGAATATGGGCCTAAAACCTTTCCTGACTTTGATGGTAAGTTTTTTTTCTTGTATATACATAGTGGCTCGAGATTTACATCTCATTTTTTTTTGACTTTTAGTGGATTACATCAATCGTATGAAAGTGGTGAGTACACCACCAAGTCGTAGTTCGAGTTCAAGTAGTTTTAATCTATCAGGATTAACCACACTCAAGACATTTCAACCCAAATTTATCGATACCTTGCAAGATCATCAATTGTTCAATTGGACTTATACGCGTGATTTCTTTACTCGTAGTGGATCCAATACCCCTTCACTTATCAGTCGATCCAATAGTTTTAGTGCAGATGATGATGTGTCTATTGAACATGTCTATCATATCCGTAAAGATGAATAAATAAAAATATAGATTTTATAAAAAAAAAAATTAAAAAATTTAAAACGAAAAGCCAACCACGGGGCATTTTTATTGATGAGCTCCAACAAACTTCTTTTGTTCTTCTGTTACTGCTTGTTTAAAGTTTTCTACTTGTTTCCAACAATCCAAAGTACGTGACTTGTTGTTGCTTTTTGTTTTTTGATTTTTGGTATACATGTGTTATTATTAAAAAAAAATAAGGGGGATCATAAAATAATACTAGATAAACAACTTACTTGTAACATGCAACCACTTCCTCTTGAGCCTTTTTAATTTCGGGAGAAACTTCCTTTGCAGAGGATCTAGTATCATGAAAAAGGGTGTGTGTGTGTGTGTGTGTGCGTGAATACAGCATGTTTTTAAAAGAGAAAAAAAAATGTTTGTATACCTAGAGATTCTATCTACCATGGCTTGAATGTCAGTGTTGACAGCAGGTGCAGTTGCATTGACATTATCTGATAATTCTACGTGAAATTTCTCTTTTAATTGAGCTTGTTCTTGTTGCAACTTTTCTAATTCCTCAGTAACACGTTGTTGAACAATGGCTTCTACTTGGCGAGCCTGTGTCTTTTCTGTGGTCTGTTCGGCTTTCTTTTCCAAGTTTTGAACAAGACTGGTGGAAAACTAAGAAAGGAAGTCAATAAACAGGATTGTCTCACATTTAAAAAAACAATCGAACCTGGAGTGGCACACTAGGGTTATAGAAAATAACAGGCTCTTGAGGTTTAGAAGCAGATGAACCCATAATAGTGTGTTTATGTGCGTACAAGAAAGGGAAGGGGTGTGCGGTAAACAAGGCCTGCTTATTTAAAAAAAAAAATATGTGTGTGTATATATGTGTGCGGTCAACGAAAAAAAAAAGATTTTTTTATTATTTATCATTTTATTCATGATAGTTTTGATGATAGGCCTCTTTATTATCATGCTGTTCCTTGGACTCAGCTCGTTTGACCTGTTTAAGAATATGTTGGATCTCTTTACCCGAGATCTGATTGGGAGCATTTTCTTTAGTCAAGGTATAATAATTTACTTCTGGTTTAGCCTTCATTTGGTCCTTGAGTTGATTAATTTGTTCAGTCAAATCGGAAATCATGGTCAACAAGATATCCTTTTCATCCATCTTTTCCAAAATATCTAAATCACGTACAACCTCCTCCTCTTCTTCTTCTTCCTTCTTTGCATTGTTGGCCTCCTTTTCGGTCTGTTCCTGTTCAATTAGGTTGTCAGGTACAATGGGTTTACATTCAATCACGTGGGATTCGGCATGATGTTTATGCGATAAATTCATTTCTTCACATAATCGAGGTGTAGATACCACAATTTGATAATGACATGTAGACACCTCAACAAAACTAGACACAAAATCCTGACCATGTTTATCACAATGAAACTATAAATGTCCCATCAGTCATATCATTCTCTGTCAACTCCATATTTTTTTTGTGTGTGTAGTTTGTACCTGTACTTCTACTTGACGTGGCTCACCTGTAAGATCACAATTAGATCCATTGGTCCATTCTTGTACCAGATACCGTTTATCACCTACTTTACGCATCACTGTCTTTGTTTCTGCACCAGGATGGATACCTAAATAAAATGAGGCAGTTTCCTGTTCCTTTTCCACTTTACCATCATGTGTACGTTCCACATGAAATTGACGCACATATTGATTATGACAATACTCATAGGCCCAATACTGATGCGTCTAAAAAAAAAAAAAAAAAAAAAAAAAAGTTAGATGACAAAATGGTTGGGTATAATAAAAACTCACGTTGGCAAAGAATCGGATACAGTTCTTGGAAAGAGGAGCTAATAAGGCTACACCCCGATCAATCGTAGCTTGAATATCTTGTTCAGTCTCTTCCTTGGCTTGTTCTTCCTTTTCACGTTCCAGTCTCTCTCTTTCTACTTGAACATTGGGGATGGTACATGAAAAAGGTTGTCCTAAAGAAGACATCATCACCATGGTGTTACTAATGGACGTAGGTACCTATTCTTCAATTGGTTAATGTAAGGCTCTTTTTTTTTTTATTGTTGTCCTATCCATGGGGGGGTTTTTTTTTTACCTCTACATTTTTGGTGGATTCCGGAACCTTTTCATTAGTCAAGACTACTTTATAACGAGGATAGGCTAAAATGTCTTGTTGAATAAGAGCAATGGAACAAGAACACAAGTTGAAAAGGAGTGTGAGGAATAGAAACTTGGGGATGGACATTGATAAAAAAAAAAGGTTCTTTTTGGTTCGTTTTTTATGTGTGTGTGTGTGTGTAGTATGTTTGTGTGTGCGCCCAACAAGCTTTGGAGCGGGGATACAATTTGTGACAACAAAGCCAAAATGAAGAGGATGCAAAAACGTCCTGCTAAATGGACTTTCTATTGGCTTAATTTTTTTTTTTTTATGATTGAATACCCTATATATTTATTCACTTTTTTTTTTTAAAAAAAAAAAAAAAAAAACTAGGGCTATTTATTCCATAAGTTATAACATTGAGTTACTTGAAGTTTATGGACTTGCATCTACAATGTTGGTTGATTAGAAATATAGAAGAATTAAAGAGTGGTGAATGGTATAGTATAACCAGGGATTCTTAAATATTATATCTTCGTTAATCTTAGGTATTTACTGAATTAGAGATTGAAGAAAAATCAACTATACGAAACCAAACCTCCGTTTCGGTAAAAAAAATCTTGACCTTCGCTGTGCTGCGGTAAATTTTTGACCTTCACTATGGTTTGGGTACGCTGCACTTTGAAAAAAACCCTCGTCAACTATACTATCCACCTATTGCAACTACACCTAGCCAACTGCACCGAAACACATTTCTATGCAATAGGACGGACACAATTATCAATGAAAAAACAGGTGCCAGGAAAAAAAAAAAGAGTGAAATTAGGTTTACAGTAGATAATGTGTCTCCTTTTGTTTAAGTATCTCTTCCTTACGAATGGTGTGCTGTCGTACAAATGGTCCGTAAGCACTTTTGAACATGAACAAACTACGTGAGAGGGCAAAGCTAACGAAACTATATTTAATATCATTACAGGGAAAAATCTTTGATCTTATCAACAAGATACCCGAGACACTCCCATACTAAAGGTCCATATCTACTTATAATGCCTGTAAAAGGATTCGAGCTGACTTTGTTTTGGTCGCAAATGGCCAAGAGGTCGGTTGTGGTGAGATAAAACCTCCAGGCACCACCTCTCAATGAGTAGAGGAAGATCGGACTAGAACAGCTGAAATACTTAAAAGACAACTGCATGTTTGTATCATGAAGAGCAAGGATCCAAAAGAATTTGTTACTTTTTGGTGTGGTATTTAACGGATTCAATATTGAACTATACGTTATGGTTTTCGAATTCGAAAATACTCCCCCTTATCAATTCTATGAAATTGAAAAATTAAAACTTCTTGGCTCGCCTGAATTATATAGCAATATCGAAGAAACCATCGAAAATCCTAAAAGATTCAAGGTAAATTACTCAATTTATATAGGGTAAGAAATTTATGACTAATTGTAATTATTTTTAACACATTGTCGCTAGACTTTCATAGTTTCAAGTTTGGCTAAAGAAGCAGATGTAGAAAAACCCTACATACACCATGATTATATCCACCTGTTCAAGCCAACCATTGCTTTTAAAAAAGTATTAAGAATATTATCACTGTATAAATATGCTTTTATACAGATTATAGGATTAAAACAAAATTCGCCCAAAATAAACATTTCTTTTAACCCTAATGAAACAAGCTGCCCGCCTCCAGTTTTCGAGTTATATAGTAAGATAAAAGACCATCAAGGCTAGCCAAAATTTATTGGAACAGAAAAATTGGTATGAAGTAGACTGAAATCCGCCAGAGAAAGAGAGATAGCTATAAGGTGATTGATGTAACAGAGGTTAAACACGAGAGTTAAACACGAGAGTTAAACACGAGAGTTGGAACGCGAAGCAAACATATCCTGTAATTTATCAGTGGTGTTACGGATAGTCTTGATGAGCATGAAATGTCAGGTTGTCGTCTCATCTCGAATAATGCCGCTGTATACATATAAGGTTTTTGCTGTTCAAAATCAATCAAAAGTCGCAGACACTTGCCCTTTCCGAATTCAATTAAATAGTTCAGGTCGAAAGCTAAGGCTGGAATAAAGAGAGACTGCTTCACTGCAGTTGATAATATCATTGAATCAGCAACTGATCTTTTATTTTCACCAATTCCGCTTAACCTACCTCAACCGACAATATACTTAAACAGGAACCGGCGAATGAACTTTTTTATTTTTGACAAAAGGTTTTTAATATGCTTTGGAATTAAGGTGATAAATCCAGTAAATGCGCCTTGCCTTCTCTTCTGTTGGAAAGTCTTCCGATTTATCAATTAATTTTCTAATCTTCATTGAAGGTTTCATGGTCTAACATACGTTTTATCTATTTATAAGCTACAATGATATTTATACTAGCTTAACGCATTACTTATCCGTATTACTACTACTAAAAAAAAAAAAAAATTGTACACACACTAATAACGAGATTTAGCTGTCTTGAATTACAAGGTATTTATTTTTACACTATACGTCATAGTGGATTACATTTATACAAGTTATATAGATTACAACAAAAACAATAGCTTCTTTCTTGATGAAGTAGGCTTCCGTCTCAATATCACTTCTATCGGAGGATGGTCGAAAAAAGATACAATGGCTACGATTCTTAATCAATAGACTTGTTGAATATCTAAAGCCATATTGGGAGTTATTTCTGCTGACGGTCTCCATAGTAAATAGCCAGTAGATCAGTCCAAATCAATATAAGCGCAGGTACACTCTGAGTTACTTAAATTCCTCAATCTAATCGCAGGGTTGTGGTTAACAGGCCGCTAAGGAACAGTCAATTTTTATTAGACCCAATTTGGTTCGCTTAGCTGTAAATGCAAATTTTGGTTACAATAAATATATATCAAATATGTCTGTGCGCTTTCTAACTTACTTTCAATGTCTCCCGTTTGGACTTTACATTTATATATCTGCCCGTGATCAAGATCAAACCAGCACATGAGTGAAAGAGTAACGACTGAATTGCCAGGTTTAGTATAACTCGGTTAGTATATATTCATTCATAACTATTATATGGTTTTTGATTGTATAATCTTAATTCCATGTCTAAAGGACAACTAAGATGCTATGACTAGGTGCACTTTGATTGTCCCTAAGAAAATCGTTTGGTAAAAGGTAGTGATCTAGAATCAAAAGATATCCATTGGATGCTACAGATCGTTTGACTCGTCATATAATGGATGTCGTAACTCAAGTTACTCTTAATAAATGCCATGATTGGATCATGCATTCTGCCAGCCTTTTCCCTCGATGTGCTAAGCTTTTCGCAAAGCATGCCATGACTGCCCTTTATAAAATAAATAATAAAATAAACAAAAATAGCCACACTTCTTTTTTTTTTTTTCACTCACAAAACAAAAAAGAAATAAAAAAGCATGACAGCAGGAGAAGGCATCAATTCGTCAATCACATTGGAAGGTTCCTCTTCACTTGTGGTCGACTACTTTCGTAAGCACCCACAGTAACCACCGTGTCAAACAAGGACAAAGAAAAACTAACGCTTTTCTACAAAAAAAAAAAAAGAATACTGCCTCAGTAGGTAAAAACATTCGAAACCTTCTCTATCCTTCCCGCCTTTCTTAACCAGTGCTTTGACGTTTAGTATTTTAATGTTACGCGGTTTAAAACCTGAAGACAGTTTCAGGCTAGTCACACGATACGGTCTCAAGGTCTACATATCTAACGAACCTCAATTGACAAGATACATTCAAGGTATTGTTCAGCAATTAAAAAGTAAGTATGCACTCTCCTCTCTCTCTCTCTTCGTTTAATTATATTTACTCACCAAACATTGTGTAGTCTGGGTAGAAGAAAACGTTGTCAGCAGATTCATAGTAGCCATTATTTCAACCGAGACGATGGAAACCATTGAAAGATGGCAATTCAATATTCAGGTCAATGGAGAAAATGGGTTACCCTCAGCCGAGAACGTTCCTCCTGCAGAGTAAGTTACCCATTTTTAACAAGCAAAAGAAATACTATTTGACACTTTTTCTTTCTGTAGTGCAGAAATTATTCAAAAGCAAACGAGAGATCAGATCAGATCCGTGTTACGCCAAATTGTACAAAGCGTGTCTTATTTACCAGAATTGGATCCTGACTTTTGTAAGTTCAAAAAAAGTATGACATCCGTATTGTGTTGTTTATTTATTTGGCATGCCGTAGGTACAATGAAGGTGCTTGTGATTGCTGATGATACTGCTGAGGTACCTGCAGCCTGGGTGGATGACAAAGCTTGCGTGATTTTAAAGGGAGCAGAACATGTACAATTAAGATCTGTCTCAACTCTTGTGCATAATGTCGATGCCTTTGTTGCCTATAAATATGATCCGTTTTAAACAAAATACATGATTCTGAACAATGCTCGTATTCAATCGCTTTTAACAATAAAAAAAAAATCATGTAATTATTTTATTATGATGTTATCCTTCTTGACCAAAATCTTGGGTAAATTCAACATGCTGTGTAATACCAGCCTCATTAACGGTAGGTCGAGAACTTTGAACGGCCTTTAAAAAGTCTTGAATGGTTAATTCAGGCTCCAACAGTTGATCTCCTTCAATATTCATCCAATTCATCACTTGTGCATCAGGATCACCTGGTGAACAAGGAGTGAAGTATTCGCGCATCATGCCAGGATTGTTTCTACAGGGTGCTTGAACTGCCTTGAAATGAGTAGCCGATTGCACTTTACGAATAGGTTGCATTAATGCATCTCGGACTAAGACCGCAATATCCGATCCAGAGTATCTAATATAATCACGTTCAATCTCTCTTTCTCTTTTCTCTCTTTTTCAAATTAGCAATTTCCTACCCATCTGTCAAGTCAGCAAGCTGCTTGTATTCTGCTTGTCCTAAGGTACATGGTGTATTTCCGATATTTAAAGCGAACAGACTAGCACGAGCGCCTACTTCGGGGAGAGGAATATAAATACGTCTTTCAAATCTAAAAAGAAAAGTATCAGTGGTTAGAACAAATTTTGTGTAAAAGGGAATGATGGATATTTACCTTCTTCTAATAGCAGCATCTAATTGCCAAGGTATATTTGTAGCACCAAGCACAAGCACACCATCCATGTCATTTCCAACACCGTTCATTTGAACCAAAAATTCGGTCTTGATACGACGTGAAGCCTCGGATTCACCCTCACCTCTGGAACCACATAGAGAATCCACTTCATCGATAAATACAATGGCAGGTTTACTCTCTCTTGCCATCTGAAATAGCTGTTTGACTAAACGTTCACTCTCACCTAACCATTTGGAAACCAAATCAGAGGAAGAGACCGAAAAGAAGGTGGCGTTGGATTCGGTAGCAACGGCCTTGGCCAAATAAGATTTACCTGTACCTGGAGGTCCGTAGAGTAAAATGCCTCGCCAAGGCTTACGTTGACCTGTGAAAAGATGAGGAAACTTGATGGGAAGGATGACGGCTTCCTTGAGTGCTTCCTTGGCCAATTCCAAACCAGCTACATCGTTCCAACTGACATTTGGCTTCTCGGTCAAAATAGCACCACTGAGATTGGCTCGCATCTTTTTCATATCAGCGTCGTCTTCATTTTCGTCTGCTTTCTCTGAACCACTGTTTATATAAAATATCAGCACATGCATAAATCGTCATAAATCCTCTCACTTACACTTTTTTTGTTTTACCCACTGCAGCTCCATTTTTACCAGTAGGACTCGATGCTTGTTTGGTTTCTTCTTGTGAGTTCAAAAACTCTTTCAACGTTTCGGCTCTGTTTAAATATTCCATAAGTTTAACACGAATGCGTTCCTTTAACTTGTCATTCTTCTCGTCTATATTATTTAAGAATACATTAATTTCCATCCATTTTAGAAGAAAGAAAAAACTCACATCTGATTGCTGTCATAAAGTATTCTAAACAGTTTTGGTATAAACTATAAGCTTCTTTATAGTTTTCTTTGTGATCTTCTTCGGTTGCCCTTTTCGCAATGTCAATGGCTTTCTGTTGTAATTATGAGTTTTATTTCACATCCCTTTCTTTCCATTTGTAGATACGCCCAAGTTTCCTCTTACTTACCGTAAGAAAGTCTGTGTTTGACATTATGTATACAATGGCTTTTTAAAATAAATTTAAAACAAAAAGGATGAGAAAAAAAAAAAGAGGAGATAGCGAGAAATAATAACAAAACTGCCCCGAGATTATTTTATTCAGGCATACACACACCAACTAACAAACGCGGGCGGGGCTGGGAGAATTATTATGCAGCCATGATCATGTGAAATTTGGCTCCATGCTTAAAAATTGTATGTGTTTATAAAAATGTTGGTCCTGTCCCAGCACTGAAAAGCTGACACTTTACCTCATGCATCAAGATAAACGACTATATCCCTCCTATTATATACCTGTCAAAACACCTGTTCCCACTGTAAGATCAAACCAATTTTTGAACAGATGCAAATCAAAAAATAGTATTCGTATGTTTACCTGTAATGGATGAAGATCCTTTGTTGGTGATAACGGAATGAACTTATTTCCAGTTACCAACAACGTATCATTATCTAAGAAACTTTGTGTTTAAACTTTGCTTCATCCGTTGATCATTCTGGTTAAAGAAGAGTTTTCTCGAAACTTTCTATCGTTTTATATATTTAATCGTAGTTATTTACTTTGATGAAATTTTTTATTCATTTCTTCTTTCAAGTCTATATTTTTTCCATCATCAAATATATTTAAGATATGCTTTTAAGACAGCATTGTTTGTATGTATGTAGCATAAAAATAATGATTACCAGAGCTATTATTAGTAAAAAAAAAAAAAATCGGAACAAACGTCACTGGTGCTTACATATTGTTTTTCAGTTATATGTTGATGAGAAGCCATATAACATTTATACATGCACATAATATCAATAGAATCTTTCGGCAATTTCACAAACCCGACAACATTTATACTCTTCAAAGTTATCGCACCTTATATAAATTCCTTCACTTATATATCTCTAATTGACAGTCATTTCTAGACGATAAAAAAAAAAAAATTTGCATGAAGTAACTATATAAAAACCAGGATTGCTATATACTAGATTATCATTACTGAAGACTGAATACCGAACAAAAAGAGACTGATATGACATTTAATGAAGGTTCGCTTATACTCTTTCAGTACATTCAACTTAATTTTCAAAAAAAAAAAAAAGAGCTGGCCCAAATAAATTTTTACATATGTTCCAACTAACCAAAGAATTTAATGGACCATTACTTATTCTATCAAGCTACCCTTAGTTTAAAATAATCAGATTTCTACAGTAGCTAGTGCGAGTAAACAAATAATGTGTAAGATTATGTCATTATGGACAAAAAAAAAAAAAAACTCAGTGCGCAGCAGTTATATTTATAACCATATGTCACATAGATCAATGTTTGATGAGTAAAATATCTCTCAAATATACACCAGATAATCTGTCATCTGTGAGAGATACAGCTATATTGTTTATTTAAAAGGATACCGCAATGTCAGTGGTAAATAAATATCGTGAGTTTATACGACATAGGATACACCATTAAAGCTCTACTTTTTTTCATGATGGGATAGAGATAAAATGTTGTGCTATTTATTGAGAAAATTAAAAAGTTATAAAAAGAGAAAAGAGAAAAGAGAAAAGAGAAAAGAGAAAAGAGAAAAGAGAAAAGAGAAAAGAGAAAAGAGAAAAGAGAAAAGAGAAAAGAGAAAAGAGAAAAGAGAAAAGAGAAAAGAGAAAAGGAGAAGGAGAAGGAGAAGGAGAAGGAATCATCTTATCTACTTAAACATTAGATTAATCCTATAGCAGCTCTTCTTGCCATCAAATTGCGAATTTCCTCTTCTTGTTTTAACGCCAAATCTTTAAGAATGGCTTCTACTGCCTCAGCATGTTGTTTCGTACTCATTTTGACAGTAGAAGAGGATTTGATATATTCTAATTCTTCTGGTTCTTCATCCAACTCCATAAGATATTCTTCTACATCAAGATCCATGGTTTGATATCTTTGATATGGATCGTAGTGATCATATCTCGTGCCAGTGTATGGTGCTTCTTTTGAGTTTCTGGAAACACCATATTCTCCTAAGGTCATCTTGATGTTATGGACACGGTTGCACATGCTTGATAAATAGCCTCGTGTGTTGCTGACAATAGTACTAGTCTTGGGCGTATTTTTAAAGAACATTTGATTTATCTTTTGCGAAAAGTGTAGCTTGTAAATAAGGGTTTTCAGAAGAAGAAAATGATGAAGAAAAAAAAAAAAAAAAAAAAAAAAAAGCGATATTTATGTAATTATGAGCCAGTTCAATCTTGGCGGACCGACACTCATGTGAAAATGATTGAAGTTCTTCCCCCAAACATTTAACACAGTCAGTAAACACAACAATCTAATTGATCATCCTATAGTGCTTGTTTTTTTTAAAAAAAAAGGTATGATCGAAAAAGATAATCATTATGAAATCAAGTCTTGAGCCAATAAGCATGAATTAAGATGATGTCAATTAAAATATATGTCAAAATCAGGCAATCGTGTGGCCACCCAAAAAAACATTTGATTTAGTTTTTTTTTACATAATCTTCCAACTGTCTTAACCATAAAGGGAATTTATTACATGCATGATGTTTCAGGATGCAATGGTATAATTCATCTTGTCCTCTCCATTTTTATTTGTGCAATATAGATAGCTCTATATACTGATGTGTCGCATTCCGTATACAGTCACATATGTTTAAGTAATCCGAGTATAACAGTTAATGTATACAGGTAGACACTTTGTTTTTTTAAAGGTATATTTTAGATGACTACTTGGCGTTGTTTAAAATAAGCAGTACCATATTGGCGCCACATCTCCCCAAAAGTTATAGAACTGCTAAACTAACGTATGTGTCTTTCCTGGTAAACCTTAACAGTCACTATAGAATTTTTTTTTAAAAAAAATAAATAAATACATTACAGCACACTATAACTAAAAATGCTATCACCTTGAAGTTTCCAGCATTTTATTCGCATCTTAAACTGACATCGGCGGTATCAGTAAATTTTTTGCCGTTTACCGGAACCGGGGATATCTGGTTAAGCTTAGACCGCTACCGCAAAACCAAAAAAGAGCAAATGATTGAAAGAGTGTAGTTTTTCGTCTTATTATTATGATAAATAGTATTTATAACAGTTTTTATATGAAGAAATAGTGTAATAGCTATTACTGAGGATTATACCAGGGGTGGAAGGAAGTAAGTGTTTCTGGTGTTACACGAATTGATAACGTTTTGATTTTCTTCATAAAGGTCTTCACCAGGGGAGCGAAAAAACACAATTTGGAAACCCCGAGAATAACTACGAGAAAAACTACCAGGTTTAATTCCAAATGAAGTAAATACGTGACTAAACAAACATGCAAGCGTACATATTTCCTCTAAAATGACTTGTTATGATTTTACGCAGTCTGTTATTTTTACTTGTTTGATTTTATATTTTATTTCATTTTTTTGCCTTTTTTCTTGTTTTATACCTATTATCGTCACCCTCAACAATGAATCCCAATACTTTTAATGAACAGCAAATTTACGTTTTGTTTGAAATACTGTCTGATTTCGAACGACAAGTCGATGTAGCTAATAAATACAATTCAGAAACTGAAATAAAAATTGAGCAAACAGAACAAACAGGGATGTTTGAGGTTATGGAGCAAATAACAGTTTTACGAACAACAATGGATTACACTATCAATCAGATAAGTATGGCGGAAAGTCACCGCGTTATTAACGAGGTGCAGTTTATGATCTTTATGGGATCGCCTGTTCATTTAGCTGAACGTATGACGACTGGAACACATCTCTCTGGAAATACATACCACTGGTGGACTCATCGGCATCCTCATTTACACGATGGAAGAGGAATATGTGATGTTTTGAGATAATAAAATTAGATAAAAAACAGAAGAAAAAGAATTAAAGAAATGAGTCTCTGTTAATCCTTTATTAAAGTTATGGAGAGAAGGTCATCGCAAAAGGGAGGACGCTTTTCATATCAAAACATCTGGGAGATTGAATCTGGTAAAGAATAGGAAGTGGCTTGTTTCTATCTTCTGAAACATGGCAATTAGAATTATATGGTCTCAAGTCAATCAATATTTTATCATATTGATTGGCCCGAATTATTAAGTGAAAATTTCTCATTTGCTGATACTTCAGTAACAGATTAAAGAGAGTCATAACAACCAATAATAATATAATTCCCAATATATAATCTGTAACAAGATTATACTGGTAATATGAGAGTACCACTCGAATATTATAATTGAACCATATTGAAGGTCATTCTATACGATCTTTATTGGAGGAAATACGACACTTACTATGACATTTATTGTTAAGCTTATATTACAAATAGTATCAGCATGGATAAACCTTTGATAGCTCTAATATGGCTATAGCCTTGCTAGGTCACCACAAGGCGCCAATTGATCAGCTTTAGTAGGTATTCTAATCATGACATGACTGTCAGGAGTGTGATAATTGAGGAATAAAAAGGGAAATGTAAATTGGAAAGTAAAGCAAGTAAAGAAATGAGACTCTATAATCCTTTATTATAAGTTGGAGAGTTTGTCATGATAAAAATAGAGGTCCTTTTTATATTCAATTATTACTTCAAGATTTTCCTGCGCAGATCGAATTGACTATTTACCCGCAAACTGGGAAATGGTAGAATTAGATTTAGAAATCAGTTACATATGAAACATAGCTCATTGTTATATACAAGGAGCTAGTTGACCCATATCCGGCACTTCTAGAGCATTAGGGGGTCCCAAACATTAAAAATAAAAATTCCGAAAATGTTTTTAAAAAATCCCGTAATTTTTTCCCCAGCCAAAAATTCAGGAACGGACGATAAATTTCGGTCAAGAAAAACGACGGACGATAATTATCGGTCGAGAAAAATGACGGACGATAATTATCGTCCGTGGATTTTACGTCATAAATTATGACGAAATTGCCATAAAAAGTAATAAATAGTTTATTTTTCTTTATTTTACGTCATAAAAAATGACATGCAAATGTCACCACTCATCTAATTATCATATATAAACCTCGTTTATCCCACATTTGACTTACCTTCTTTCTCTGAAATTATTTTCTGAATTATATCAACTAAAATGCCCGGTCAACGTAAACAAACTACTGCTAAAACATCCAAGAAAACGTCTTCCAAAACAGCTTCTGTTGATGATAGCCAACGTGGATCCAACACTAGTCCTGCTCATGCCAAAGCGATGATTGGTTACTTCGAGGAAAACATCAAGCTTTTTAAAGCATACATCGGTGTACATGATAACGCTGCCCCTGGAGCTGCTACCATAGTCAAAAAGCGTGAAATCATTAAGGGTATGATGAGAAAACTGTTGGCTGACAAGGCTATACCCACCGATTGGACGCTGGATCAGCTTATGAAACGTGTTGCCCGTCTTTTTACCAAGTACCGTGAAATAGAGAGAAAGTTGAATGGCACTGGTTTTGGTTTGACAGAAAAGGATATTCGTGGAGGGATCACCAGTATCGAACAAAAGTGTGATTTCGAATGCCCTGGATTTGAACGATTGTCGACTTTGCATGGTGATAGGCCTAATACCCAACCTGTTTGCGTAGCTTTCCATGGTGCTCCTGGCGGTACTGAGTATACGTTCTCTAGTAGAAAAGAGCCCACCATTACGGCCATCGATGAACAAACCCGTGCTGTTTTTGGTGAGGGCGAAGAGCTTGAACCAGCTCAGCCAATTCGATCTGCTTCTGAGGAACCTGCAGCTCGTACTCGTGATCCTTCTGTTGGCCCTTCGTCTCCTGGACCATCCATGATTCCTCGCTCTTTGTCTGTCGAGCCTGCAGGTGACAATGATACGTCTTCTCTTCCTGTGGTTCCTGAAGATCGTCCTAGACCTCGTCGTAGTTCGATGTCATTAGACAGGGAGGTTGCAGAAATCCTTGGCACGAATGCCTTCAGCGACGATGATGATGATGTGGACACTGTTCGTGTTAATGCTGGTTCCCGTGGTGTTCGTGGAAGCTCCAGTAGTACTCGTGCTCCTGGTGGTCGTGCTGCTTCTAGCGGTCGTAGTTCTCGTGGTACTCGTGGGAATGTTGGGTCGTCCAGACCTCGACCTGAAATTCCTTCAGTTGATCGTATTCGTGTAGATCCAGATCACGCTATGAGAAACAAGAGAATGAAGAGGGATTTCTCGTCGGAATACCGTGAAGCCCAGTTGAGAAGGGACGAAGTTCTGAGAGAGAACAGCCAAAGGGAGTTCGAGCTTGGTATGACGGAGCTGTTGGTGACGAGTCTTCAAACCAATGCGTTCAGAACGACGTCCTTCACGGAAATTGCCCAACATATTGCGGCGTTCCGACAATCATTGAGGGAACCTCTTGGGAATGCTCGAGGTAACGAAGAGGCGTATCGAGTAAGAAGTGATAGTGAAGGTGAACCCGCTTTTGACGGTAACGATGATGGATCTGATGATGGATCTGAAGTAGCTAGACGTTAGTTTTTTTTTTCTTTTGAATAAAACCTTTTTTTAAAACTAATATTTACCTGATTGTATCATTAATGACCTTCTACCATCCCTCATTCATTACAATAATAAATTTGCTCATGACTTCCAAACTATAATGCGCTTTTCATCGATCTAATTTCTTTATTTTTTATTTCGTGCGAAATGTACAGTGTAATCTGCCAATACTACATCCACAACCGAATCCCTCCATCTATTCAGTGTACGACCAGAAATACTTTTGATGTTGTCGAACGATTGAAGCAACAATACATCCTTTCTTGACTGACCTACATCTACGTCTTCAAAAAAATCGCCAGCAAAATTGTCGTTTTCAGTAATCAAGAAATTGTGCAAAAGAGCACAAACAGACACCATCTCGTCGATCTTCATCACGTCCTCGTTGCAATTTATCTGGATAGGAATGTTCTTCAAGATCCTCCATTTACCTTTCAGTACACCGATCGTGTTCTCGACGGCAACTCTCGCAGAAGAATGTACCTTGTTGAAATCTTCGCACTTCTTGGATTTCAGTACCTGAGGTCTCCTGAAAGGGGTAAGAACGAATGGATGTAGAGCATATCCGGAATCACCCAGAAGATACTCATGGTTTGCACCATTACCACATGTGAAATAAAGGTGATCTTTATTTACCATAAAGCTGGCATGCTCTACACATGTGGCGTCACCCACTGAACCTACATATCCTACTTGCAATCCAAAAATGATCATCCTTTCGTCGCATACGACTTGACAATTTAGAGAGTAGAAACCCTTTCGGTTATAGTACGTTTCGGCATGCTTCGTTGGCTTCTGCGCAAGACGGAAATGGGTACCATCAATATACCCAATACAATTTCGAAAAAAGTGGTACTTCTTGATTGCTGCGGCCGACAATTCTCTTTGCTCCTTGTTGGGCCAGCGCATCAAATGTCCAAGGTTGTCATTAATTGCCTTGAAACAGCGTTGCGTGTAGTTGGTGACAGAGCCTTTACTAATCCCAAACAAAGTAGCAATTTGGTCGATGCTGCACTGTGAAACTTTTTATCGGTCCAATTTTTGAAAAGATTTTGAAAAAGTTAGACCGGCGGTCGCGGTCCAAAAATTGGACCGATTATTTAAAAAATCGGTCGAATTTTTGGACGGATTTTTTAAATAATCTGTCAAAAAATTGGACCGATTTTTTAAATAATCTGTCGAATTTTTGGACCGATACTGACGAGTACAAGCTATAGTTTCAGCAAATAGTAACGTAGTAACCTTATTATTTAAAAGAATGGTATTGGCTAAAAATACGACTAGCGTACACATTTCATGGGTTGCTACCCTTGCACATATTGAAATTTAGGATTGTATATATTGAAAAAAAAGACTTTTATTTAAATAAAAACACGAAGAGTAGTTATAGATATTGCAGAAAAAAAAACGGTGTAAACCCCACGCAGATCTATACAGACTAACTAACAGGGCAGACTACTATTGTTCAAAACGAAAGGACACGGCCAGGAGTACTTACCTACGAATAATAATGTTAATAACAAGCACACATGTTGTTATGATTATAATACATACCTTAACAATAAACCAGTGGACTTGGCGATGCACTTACCACACCATACGTGTATAACTATGGTTAGAATGTAGTTAATAAAATGGATAACAAACAGATAATAATATTATAATAGTAGCGTTTACCTTAAAGGATGTCGCTTATTTAACAAGTGCTTGAATAGACATGATAAAGATATACCTTTTACAAAAAACTATATATCGTGTTAGTTTTATAGCTGGCTCAAATACAGTATGACTGAACATAATAACATTTATAGACTTACTATTATTTTTTTATTTAAAGAAAGAAGAAAGAAGAAAGAAGAGAGAAAAAAGAAAAAAAAAGGAAAAAAAAAAAAAAAGTTTTAAATAGGGCAGGTTAAAACTCAGAGAGAAAATAATTCCCCACCTAAACTACGAGACGATCTTGGAGGGCGCTTATCTGGCTTTTGTTTTGCTTCTTTGGCTTTTCTTTTGTTATTCTTGCTATTTTTGTCACCAACATCCAAAGAGACAGGCAAAGAAGTAGAGACAGCAGACGAGCCAGAAGGAGTAGATGAAGCCATGGGGCCAGAGGGGGGTAATGAAAGTGAAGGAGATGGTAAAGAAGGTGAAGGGGGAGGTATGACTGGAAGCGAGGAAGATGTCGGGGGAGAGGTAGATGCGAAAAATTCAGAAGTAGGAGAGGGTACTGATGTGATTGTTGGCATAGATGGAGTAGGTGGCATAGATGGCATAGATGGCATAGATGGAGTAGGTGGCATAGATGAGGTAGGTGGCATAGATGAGGTAGGTGGCATAGATGAGGTAGGTGGCATAGATGA